TTTTCAGAAATTGGTATTGAAAGAACATGTATTATAGTTAATGATGATGAAACTCTCTGTCAAATAGGATTTTCATTTTGTGACTTTCTTTATTCTTTCTCTCAACATTTCACAAGCTGGGCAGCCACAGTACTGAGGAAGTGCAGATGCAAAAAGCAGCAGACACAGAAAAACCAGAACTAGTCATTTTCATTTTGAAAGTGTCCCAGGTGAGCCTTAGACACAGAGCTAAGAGTAAAATGGTGGAGGATTTCCTCTGAGCCACATCTAGTAATAGAAAGGGAATTAAATTATCAGGTATACTGGAATGCCAAATGGTGAATCGTTTAGTCTGGGGGCATGTGTCATATCTCCTGAACTCTTAAGTAGTTGCCCTGTCATCTAATTAAGGAAAATGACTCTTAACAAAAGTTTATCCTTCCTGGAATTCTTTTTTTTTTTTTTGAGACAAGGTTTCACTCTGTTGCCCAGGTTAGAGTACAGTGGCATCATCAGAACTCACTACAACCTCAAACTCTTGGGCTTAAGTGATCCTCCTGCCTCAGCTTCCAGAGTAGCTGGAACTACAGGTGTGAATGACCAGGCCTGGCTAATTTTCCTATTTTTTGTAGAGACGGAGTCTCACTATGTTGCTCAGGCTAGTCTCAAACTCCTGGCCTCAAGCAATACTCCTGCCTCAGCTTCTGAAAGTGCTAGGATTACAGGCATGAACCACTGCACCCAGCCTAAAATTTCTTGACAATTATAAGGTCAATTTTGAGTCATTCAAAAACCAGGTCTTGGCCAGGCACGGTGGCTCACGCCTGTAATCCTAGCTCTCTGGGAGGCCGAGGCGGGCGGATTGTTTGAGCTCAGGAGTTCGAAACCAGCCTGAGCAAGAGTGAGACCCTGTCTCTACTAAAAATTAGAAAGAAATTAATTGGACAACTAAAAATATATAGAAAAAATTAGCCGGGCATGGTGGCGCATGCCTGTAGTCCCAGCTACTCGGGAGGCTGAGACAGAAGGATTGCTTGAGCCCAGGAGTGTGAGGTTGCTGTGAGCTAGACTGATGCCACGGCACTCTAGACCGGGCAACACAGTGAGACTCTGTCTCAAAAAAAAACAAAAAACAAACAAAAAAAAACAGGTCTTTAACACGCTGGATAAAAATGAATGAAACCAATAAGAACAATTATACCAGATTTCAGGGGTAATTATAAATCCTTATCCTAGCTGCTAAGTTTGCTAGCTTGTAACTTGACGCCATCAATACCTCCCAGAATTATTGGGATTCTTTTAAAGCAGAGTTTCTCAACTATTAACTTTGGGGACCAGTTAATTCTTTATCATGGGGGGCTTTCTTGTGCACTGTAGGATGCTGAAAGGCATGGCTGGCCTCCACCCACTCCCAGTAGCACCCACTCCCCACTTGTAACAACCAAAAATGTCTCCATACATTGCCAAATGTCCCCGGGGGTTGGGGGTGGGGGACAAAAACACCTCCAACTGAGAACCACTGCTTTAAAGAGATGGCAATAAATAAAAGACAAAGAATCAAAGCACTTAAAAATAGGAAGGGATTTTAAGGAGCCGGATAACCAGTGATTCTCAAACTTTACTATGTATCAGCCTCTCTGAGCAGCTTGTTAAAATGCTGATTCCTGGTCTTCACCCCAGACCTATCAATATAGTCAAGTACTGGTTTTGCCCATATCAGTAAACATCCTCATTCTACAGACAAGTTAATGTAGGCCAGAGAGGGAAAACGCCTTGCCCAAGGTCACAGGGCGAGTTAGAACCTAGACTCCAAAACCAACCAAACCTTTCCTTACAGCCAGGAGTGTGTGCTGTCCTTAAGTCGTTGAGGCAGCAGAGCCTGAGACACAGCACTCTGGGGACAGGTAGCCTCAGTTAAAATCCCCACTTGGTATTTATTAGCTGGGCCATCCTCGCACAGGCACGTAACCTCTCAGGGCCTCAGTTTCCTTCCGGCAAGTGGAATAATATAATAGCCCCTACCTCCCGGTGTTACTAGAAAGGTTAAGACAGATGTCTTAAAAATGCTCCGGGCACAGGAAGCACTCAATACATGTCCTAGTATTATTACTGTTCCACGACTGCAGAAGTGAAGGGGTCTGGGGGCTCCGGCGGCAGAGGACTGGAAACGGGCTCAGAAAGGCGAAACGACCCCCGACTGCCCCCGTCCCCACCGGGGACCGACCTCCGCCCCGCCCCGCCCCTCACCTGGCCCCGCAGCTCCTTCTCCAGCTGCCGATAGTCGTTGTTCCACACCAGGAGATGCAGGGGGAAGTGGCTGCTGGCGTCGCAGGCCGAGGACATGTCGAGGAGGCCGCAGCCGGGCCCTCGCCGCCCGCCTGCCAGAAACCTCGGCCCCGGCAGGGTCTCCGGCGGCCGGCGAGCGAGAGAACGAGGCGAGCGAGCGAGCGAGCGAGGGGCGCGGGACGCGGCCGGACGGCCTAGCGGGCAGGGTGCGGGGCGCGCGGGAAGTCCGGGGTCGCGGGCCGGCTACGGGACCGGGTCGGCCGCGCCCACCCCGCGCCCCGCCGCGCTCCCGCCCGCGCTGACAGCTCGCGAACCGACTCTCGCTGACCGAACTGCCCCAAACAGGGAAGTGCGCGGAGCGAACCAGCGCGCCCGCGGCGGGAGGGGGCGAGGCCCCGACACCGGGCCCGGAGTCCGCCCCGCCCCATCCGCCTCCGACTCACACCGGAAAACTCGTCGGGACCCACAATCCAGACCTGTCGTTCTTTCCCCTGGCCAAGGATCTAGACGTGGAAAGCTCGGTCTGTCTGTCACCAGCTTCATTCCCCCTGCCCCAGCCACCCCAGGTGGTTCGGTCCACAACTGAGCCTCTTCCATTGGCCCCACAGTCAGGGGGTGACGACAAGGGCCGGGGACCAAACCATTCCAGCTACTGACTCCGCGGCTGCCTTTTTGGATCAGGGCAGATCTTTCTAGGATTGGTTAGAAGCCATTTTGGAAGTGGGCAACACCAAACAATTTTAAAGAAGGAACTCTAAATCCTGGAGAAGTGGCTTCCAATACAGTATTTGCATAGCAAGGGGATAGTTATTAATATATCTCAGGATTTCTCAACCTCTGCACATATTGAACCGCCTAATTCCTTGTGTGGGGGCTGTCCAGTGCTTTGTAGGATGTTGAGCAGTTTCCCTGGTTTCTCCACCCAGTTAATGCCAGAAGCACTCCTCAAAACGTATCTTCAGACATTGCCAAATGTCCCCGTGGGGAGAAAAATCGCCCCTAGTTGAGAACCACTGCTCTATCTGAACTCCAAACTGGGTTATGACTCAAAGCTACCTATGGTGGTGATGTAGTTCATGTATGTCATTTTTAAGCTAGCCATTTAGATTTTGGGCTTCTGGCTGAAAGGACTAATATGTAAGACCCACATTAGACTACAGTGTGCAAGTATTAAGTTCATCCTTTGAGTTTCAACCTCAGGCACTATGCTTCCTTGACCCAATGAAGAACCAAGTCATCTTACAGCTACTCACCAACTTGAGCTTTCTGCTGCTGCTTCAGCTCAGCTGTTCACAACTAGACCACATAGCTGGGTGAAGTTATTCAGCGCATCTTGAAAACATTCCTTCTACCTTCTCTGCTTATGCACATCCAGCTTTTCAGATGCCTGCAACAACAGCTGTTCAAGAATCCTAGCCTAATCCATTTGCTGCATGTGTGGAGCCCAGAAGATCTGTGAGTTGTGGAACCAAAACAGGATGGCACCCAGAGGCTGTAACTATGGAATGCGTGGGAATTATGTGGTTATCCTCACATTACACATTCATCATAAGGGGGAGATGGACCCAAGACCAGTGCTTCTGAGGCCTCTTACAGCACTTGTTATTCTTTCAAATGACTCGTGCAACTTAATATTCTTCCTCTTCATGATCCCATGTTTATTGAACAACTCTCCTATCTCATTAGTTTGAAAACTCCACAATGGCAGGGGCTACATCCGTTTTGCTTACTAAAGTACCTAAAATCAGAGCCCTACTGGCCCACAATACTACTGGCCCACTATAGGCATCTAATATTTGCTGAATGGAGATCATAGTTGTGTTTACATGTAACACATACAGTAATTATACATTAGTATGAGGGTCACATCTGTTTTTTCCTTGACACTGATTAACCTAATTTCATTGTGTTTATCTCACACCATCCTGTAAATTACTCTAGGTTAGCTATTCTTATTCTCAAATCCCAACTATAGGAAAAAAGTAATAATTAGAAAATAATGGTAATATTAATAATTACAGGAGCTACTATTTATTTAGGGCTTACTACCGAGCAGGCATTGCACATTTTCCCATAACTTATTCCATTTGTCCTTAGCCAGACAGCAAATATTTAGCTTTGCCGGTCACATACAAGTTTTGTTGCATATTCTTCTTCCTCTTTCTTTCCCTCTCCCTCTTCTTCTTTTCTTCTTGCAACACTTTAAAAATGTAAAAATCATTCTTACGTAGCAGGCCACACAAAAACAAATCATGGACTAGAGGTAGGCAACACGTTATCTTCATTTTGAAGATGAGATTAAAAGTGAAGCCTGAAGAAGGAATTATCTAATATATTCTTACTTTACTTATTGTAGATCTACCCTAGTAGAATGTAAGCTTCACAAGGATCTGAAACTGTGCCTTCTTTGCTCACTGTTCTTTTTCCAGGGTCTGCAACAGTGTGTGGAACATGGTAGGGGCTCTATAAATATTTGTTGAATAAAGGAATGAATGAATGAACTTGACTTAACCACTGATTGCCTCAGGGAGGTTGTGGCTGCAGCGTTCTGGTCACCGATTTTGCTGGTATAATTCAGCGCTGGGACAAGGGGAACCTCTGCCGGAGAGGGAGACCCAAATTCAAGATTTTAAGGTAGGTCAGAGGATGCTGGGCCAGTCTCTTGCCCTCACTCAAGATGGTGACCAGGCAGCTTGCCCTTTCCGGTCACATGACCTGACAGTCGCAGAAGGGTGCCTCCCCGCGCGTGCGTGCTGCGCCAAGGCTGCGAGGCACTGAGGGAAGAAGCGCCGCCGCCAGCGCCGCCGCTGGGACCCGTTAGAGCGGAAGCGCTGCCGCCGCTGCCTTCGCGGTCCCGGGGCCTCTGGTTCCCGGCAGGTGGGAGGCGGGAGCCATGTCGAAACGGCTCCGGAGCAGCGAGTTGTGCGCTGACTGCAGCGGGCCGGGTGAGTCGCACCGGCCAGGCCCGCTCCCCTCTGCTCTCCTGGCCCGGACCCCTGCCCCGGGGCCGCCCCCTCGGGTCGGGCGGGTTCCCGCAGCCGAGCGCGGCAACCCGCGGCTGGGGTTGCAGCGAAGAAAGTTCCCGGGCCGCCTTGAGGCGGGACCCGTCCCGGGCCTGTCAGAGCCGGGCGGGCAGGGGGCCGCCGCCCTCCCGTCCCGTTCGGCCCTCCCTCCCCTTTCGTCCCCTCCGTCCCAGGCCGGCTAGGGAGGCGGCGGGGGCCGGGAACGCTCCCCTGACAGGAAGGGGCTTGGGCAATCCACAGGAAGGCTAATTACAGAAGTAAAATACGAACGTCCTCCCGGCTGCAGCCCCCAGAGGCTGCAGGTGTCACTTTCCACCGAACCCCCGCCTCGCCTGGGGGCCCTGCCCAGGGTGAGCGATACTCCCTGAGACTCTCCAGACGGCCCCCATAGATGATTTCTCGGTTCCTGACATCCCGACAGCTCTCTTACTAGGAAGAATCTCCGGGAGGTCCGGAGTCTCGAAAACACAACCAGCACTTCGGCAGTGCGTGTCAAGTTTGGCAATTAGAACGGCTTGGGTTCGAACCAGATTTAGCCTATGGGTGACCTTGGGCTGATGACTTCACTTGGTCACTTGGTCTTGATTTCCTCATTTTTTTTCTATGGGGATAATTGGGAGTACCACGCTCGGTGGTTAGGAAGATTCGGTGAAAATTCTTAGGATCATCTCATCTAAATTTTTTTCTTCTTTTTTATATTACGTTATCTAGTGTAGAATCCTTGCAGCCCCTTAAACCTAGGGTTGACTACCTTTTTTTTTTTTTTTCTGAGACAGAGTCTCACTCTTCTTGCCCTGGCGAGTGCTATGGCGTCAGCCTAGCTCACAGCAACCTCCAACTCCTGGGCTCATGCAATCCTCCTGCCTCAGTATCCCGAGTAGCTGGGACTACAGACACTCGCCACCACGCCCGGCTAATTTTTTCTATATATTTTTAGTTGTCCGATTAATTTCTTTCTATTTTTAGTAGAGATGGGGTCTCGCTCTTGCTCAGGCTGGTTTCTAACTCCTGAGCTCAAGTGATCCTCCCACCTCAGCCTCTCAGAGTGCTAGAATTACAGGCCTGAGCCACCTGCCTGGCTGGGTTGACTACCTTAATTATACATTAATTACAGTTTAAACAAACACAAAATCACTGGCAAAATTAGCATAGAGGGGCATCGAAAGGCAAAAACCATTCCTCCATAGTAATGCCTAAACATTCATACATTGTATTCGGGTTTAGAGATCAATTCTGGCTTAGCAATTGGAACTGAATTGACAGGTCTCTAGATAGAGATTATATGCTCTTTTAGGTGTTGGATTTATCTGCTTTGAGATTGAAGTCATTGAGAGGTAACATGGCTTCCTTGGCATAATAGCATCCAATAAACAATCTTAATTAAGTCATTGAACACCAGTGGCCTTGCAAATGTTCTCTTCTTCATCTTGTCATTTGGAAGTGGAGACCGATTTTAGATAGTACTGTTGTGATAACCCAAGTCTTATGTGGTTATTTCATGGCCTGTATAGTGCAGGTGGTGTTACCAGTTTCCTTTGAAGATAGGGAGGGGGTTATGGAGGAGTTTAAAAAGAGGTGTTTCATAAAGCAAGTTAGTGTGTGTTATACAAACTCCATCGTTTTCTCTAAAAATGTTATTTGTTCCACTTCCTTATTTTCTTGTCTGTTTTCAGTTGAACTTTCTGTGATCTGTTTGATTCACATGTGTCTAGCTTCTAGCTTCCTCTTGGATTGCATATTCTTAACTTCTCAATGGACGGTATGGGGCAAAGGAAAACTGTTTCTCCGTTGCCACCCTAAATACTATCTTGCACTTTTGTGGCATTTCATGCATTTCAGGACATTTTCTCTTCCATTGTACCGTTTAAGTTGTTGTCTCCTAACCTAATCTACAGAGACTTGAGTCATTTCCTTCCTGTTTTGAATGTAATTAGGCTACCTTGAAATGCTATTTGAACTTGAGCAGCTAGGAATTTGTGCTGCTTTTTCTGCAAAGCCCTAGTGAAAGAATTACTTGTAGGGTTAGGGACCCCTTTGAATGCTAAAGCCATCTCCTCAGAAAATGCACATGTACTTACTCTTTCACCCTGAATTTATGTAAGATTTCTCAGGGGGAGTCACAGACATCTTTTTGAAGTCCATTTGTGGTGTTCATGGAGCCCTGGCATAAAGCATCCAGATAAACTTGAAGGGTTTCACCCAACTCATTCATACACACTCAATATTTATTTTACTATGTTGTTAACTTTCTAATATTTTTCCCATGGGATTCTGATCCATGATGTTTAAGTGATTGAGAACCTCTCTTAATGTGTGTTAATTCCTTGCTGACTTGTTCCTGTTTAATTTCCTGCAAGAATACCATGAATCCTCTCAAAACTGTCTTTCTTTGTCATTAGTGGTAGAACCATGCCGTAGAAAGCAATACTGTTATGCATCTGTGTAGGGACCCTTCATCTTGATGTTTCCAATCTTTGCTTTTTAGAATGGCATAGTAGTAATGAAGAGAGTTATACTTTATTCAGTTATTTCGTTTCTGCTTTATTTAGCCATTTAGCCATTATCACATCTTCTTAAATATTTTATGTGCTTCTTTAAAAAAACAAATCTAGCTCATTTTAAGTACATCATACTCTGAGTTCAATTACCTGAAAACTCTGCTGAGATTTCCACTACAGTGGTACAGTGTTCACACTGAAACATTCAATGTTTTGAGTATTTCCAATCAAAGACTTTTTCCAGTGATTGTGAATTTCAGTAGGCTCTTGAAAATATCTGAATACTTAGAAAATGATTTAGAAAAGATGGGACAGCTGACATTACTAAGCACTTACTATATGAAAGGTACTTTACTTTTTATATCCTCACTGTCCTGAGATGTTGTTATTCCCATCACCCAAAGAAGTGGCAGAGTTGGGGTTCAAACCTTGAACTGCTTGTCTCCAGAGCCAACCCTCTTAACCACCACACTCTCTGGCTCCCAGAATTTGTCTTTCATTGAAATTCTGTAACTTTTCATTTTATGGTTGGAAAGAGTTTGAATAAACTGTTTAAAATGGTAAAGATGGTGTACATGCATTTTAGAGATTTTCGTGGACACTGAAGAATTTTAAAATGTAAACCAGGCAGCCTAGTGGCACCTTTTGTCACCCTATCGTGAGTCTGATGAAATGTAGATCTTTCTCTATTTGGGGTTTCTAAGTGCTCAGTTTACTTACCCAGATCTGTCCTGTTTACCAAATATGAATTATTCCTTATTTCAAAGGATGTCTAATGAAGTTCTGTGACTTCAAAGGAAAAAAGTATTATATAATACATGCACTAAAAATATTACTCGTTTTTATATTATGTCTTTGCCTCTGTGAAGCCACTGTTATTGCAGCTTCTTTTCTTTCAAATCAGTTACAGGACTGGACTCAGTAGTTTATCTGAAACAACTAATGGATATCATAGAACATTTCCTAGTAGAAGAGGCCAGCTTTCCCTGTCCTCAGAGCCATAGCAGCTGAGCAGTTTTTTAGTTCTGTCACTTGCAGCTTTCTGCTAAGTGTAGAGGCGTGTCGATTTGTAGCAGTGGATTTTGGCAGCAGTCTTTTCACCATTTACTTCAGATAAAGCTATGTGGTTAATTCACTGTCAAAATTTACCTTGCTGTTTGGGGAGATGGATTCGAAATGATTCATCTGTACCCTCTCAATTTGTTTCTCTTACATTGAATGAGAAAGCATATGTCTGAGATGGTAGATCCACATTAGGGCTACGAATTGTGGCCCTGAACCAGAAAGAAGGTAACTGCTTATTCACGGCTTCAGCTCATGTTTTTAGTCTCAGTTAACATCGTACCTAATCAGCCAAGGTAGGTAGTATCATCAGACAAGATCGCAGCTTGATATGTGACGAGCATACTAAAACAACAAAAATGCCTTGTTTTTCTCAAAAACCAAACCTCAGTTGTCTTTTGCCATCTGGCAGTATAACAACCAACCGGTATCCTTGCCACTGAGATTTCATTCTCTTTCCAGATCCTTCCTGGGCATCAGTAAATAGGGGAACTTTTATATGTGATGAGTGCTGCAGTGTCCATCGGAGTCTAGGACGCCATATCTCCCAAGTAAGGCATCTTAAACACACACCGTGGCCTCCCACACTGCTTCAGGTAAAGGATAAGAATTCTTCTCACGGTTTATAATTTATGTTTTAGCAGCTAAAATTTCTCCTGCTATACTTCTTAAATCTTACAAAATTGTTTGAATCATAATTGAATAAAGGTGCTTTGCCCATCAATGCTATGTACAAGTGTTATCTGTATTGAATTAATTGTTTAAGCTTTTTTTTTCCCCTCCTAACATAAATCTTGTTCCAAAAGCTCAATTTTCTATAGATAGATAGATAGTCATTAAAATGTCTTAGTGATGTTGCACTGCCAACTTTCTGGACTGTCACCAGCAATTGTTTTTAATTAGTCCATCATTTCCATGTACCATGATGACTGTTTCCAAAAGCTACTGCGGGAGAAACTTTTCATTAATGTACTTATTCCTGAGTACCTGCTAATACTTTTAGAAAATTTTTTCCTGCTTTGATAGAAGCATGGATTCCTCAGAAATTTCTGAAACATCTTAAGTTTTCTTAAAGCTCTTGCTGCTAGTCAGAAAGACCAAATCAAATTAACGTGTTTTGATTGCGTGCCTAACACTCTGTTAAGTGTTAAATGGGCTCTCTGTTTTATTTTGGGTCCAATGTCAAGTTACCTGTACTTCTATTTTGGGGCACGTATTCTTCAGATTCTCTTGGAATTCAGGATTAAGCGTGCATTTTGCCTTCATTTGTCTTGAGTGCATACTTCACTAAATCTGTGGCAGCTGCACAACTTGTCCCTGAAACTTGTTAGTATGAACCAGGGGACCAAAACAAGTGGGTTTGGATCACTGATGTGAAAATATCTCCACTAATGTAAAAAACAGATGGGGCTGTTTCAGGAGTCATGCTTTGAAATGAAATTAGGAGATATGGTTTATTAATAACTTTTGCTCGGACATTTCTAACAGCTCATTTTCATGTGAAGGTAGGTGTTTGCTGCTTTCAGGTCTGTCTGCGTTTACATAGGCAGATTACATTATAGAATCTGAATAAAGTCCAGAAACGAGTAGTTTAAAGTGCCAGGGTTAACTCTAAAGCAACAATTCCCAAAGTGTGGTACGTGAACCACCAGTAATACTCCAGACAGATGTAGGTAACACTCAAACATTTATTTTAATGTGTATAAGAAAACTACAGCACATCAAACCATAACTGTTAATAAAAGTTTCAAAAAGTGAGTGGATTTAAAGAAAAATATTAAGTTGGATAGACAGTACATGGGTTGTTAGGACTCTTGAAAATAGTATTTGATCAGGCTTGGGAAACACTGCCCTGAAGTACTTTTCTTTAATAATCTATAAGAACAATGCAATCCAACCCATTTAGGCATTTAGCTATCCTGCTGGTCAAAGCCTGAATCCTGTATACAGGTTCATCTTTCTCATTCTGAAATCAGAAAATAATGTTATGAGTGATATCCCAGGCATCGTAGTGTTTGTAATGGGCTTCGTTTTCCTGGTTCGGTTACTGATTCCCATTGAATATCTGTGGAAAGAAATTAAAATACGTTTTCCTACTGCTTGTTTTAGATGGTTGAAACATTGTATAATAACGGTGCTAATTCTATATGGGAGCATTCTTTGCTGGACCCTGCCTCTATTATGAGCGGAAGACGTAAAGCTAATCCACAGGATAAAGTACAGTGAGTGGAATGTTTATAAATACTTTTATTTCTTCATAACAAGTGGGGCCCAGTGACAGGAGTGCAGCTATTTTTGATCAACCTCCTCAAGGACAGCACAGGAGGTGGTTACCCCAATTGTGCATTGGGCTCTTTGCTGTCAGAAATGTAGAATGAGGCGGGGCGGGACCATCTGTTTTGCTTGGTTACCCAGCAGGAGTAAATGGTTTCTCCAGTTGGAAACCAGGCTTGGAGGCTGCACTTGTAATCAGATTTAAACTTAGTTACTCAAACAAGAGGCCGTCAGACCAGAAATCTAGGTTCTGGGCCACCAGTCTGCCAGATGCCTCACCTATGAGATGGGACTAAATGCCGCTTCCTCCCAGGTTGCTAGGTCAATTCAGAAAATTACACAGAGAAGAAGGATACTATAAAAAGTAGATATTCTGCAGTCCCAGCCATTATAATGCCTAATGTATGTTTTCAGACTTCAGGTCTTTAAACACCACTAAAACTCACTTGAGCATTGTTCATTTTATTCTTGAGTAGGGGATGTGGGTCACTTCCTCTTCTTTTCACAGTACAAAGAATGGGGAATGTCGCATCTGAACTACAAGTGAACTGTTTTGTTTTTGTTTTCAAACCAGTCCCAATAAAGCGGAATTCATCAGAGCCAAGTATCAGATGTTAGCGTTTGTCCATCGCTTGCCCTGCCGGGATGATGATAGTGTGACTGCCAAAGATCTTAGTAAGGTGGGTCACACCTTTTAAAACCCCTAAAAAAGCTGACTGAGACAGCATGTTCGATTTGAAAAAAATTTTAAAGGTAGAAAGAAAAACAAAAACTCATTTCTGTACATTAAATAATTAATAACAGCTTTTTTTGCAATTGGTTTTCTCTTTAATCTTAATTCAAATGGCAACTGTTCATGTCAATGGGGGTACAAGGACAAAGAGGAAAAATAAGTATCTAGAAAACAATTTACATTTTTCAAATATGGTTTTTGAATTGTATTTCAATAAGTTTTTTGTTTAATTTTGAAATGGGAACCATTTCAGAGTTTGTTTCTAAACGGAAATAGAAAGTTTGAAGGATAATCATTTGTTTCTAATAAGGACTAGAAAAAGTACCAGAGGAAGAGGGCTAACTTTTTCAGGTTTCCAGGTTGCAGACTGAGTTGAATCTTCAGAAAGCAATGTGTGACTTAAAGCTATAGTGCACAGACTGGTTTATCATCCTTGTAATATGAGTAGATGGATTTCTTTGTGGGCCTTCACTTGTGTTTGAGAGATGCCATAAGAAATGCGCATATAATTTCAAAGCACTGCTTTTGACAAATGCTCACTCCCACAGAGGATGGGCATTCACAATTCAGAATTTTAAATTTGGCATAGAAATGTATATAATGGTTGCTTCCATTAATTAATAAGACTTGGTATGGGGCCGGGCGTGGTGGCTCACGCCTATAATCCTAGCACTTTGGGAGGCTGAGACGGGAGGATCACTTGAGCTCAGGAGTTTGAGACCAGCCTGGGCAAGAGTGAGACCCTGTCTCTATTAAGGAAATAAAAATTAAAATTTAAAAACAAGAAAAAGCGGCTAGGCACGGTGGCTCACGCCTGTAATTCTAGAACTCTGGGAGGCCAAGGCGGGTGGATCGTTCAAGGTCAGGAGTTCGAGACCAGCCTGAGCAAGAGCGAGACCCCATCTCTACTAAAAATATAAAATTAGCTGGGCATGGTGGCGCATGCCTGTAGTCCCAGCTACTCGGGAGGCTGAGGCAGAAGGATCGCTTGAGCCCAGGAGTTTGAGGTTGCTGTGAGCTAGGCTGATGCCATGACGCTGTAGCCTGGGCAACAGAGCAAGACTCTGTCTCAAAAAAAAAAAAAAAAACAAGAAAAAGAAAACTTGGTATGCAGTAGGTTTTTTAACCAAAATTTTTGAAAAATAGCCAGATGAAGTGGCACACATCTATAGTCCCATCTACTTGGGAGGCTGAGGTGGGAGGACCACTTGAGCCCAGGAGTCCAGCCTACACAACATAGTGAAACCCCATCTCTCTCTTTTTTTTTTTTTTCCCTGTCGGAGACTGTAAGAAAGGGAGTCCCCAGGTCTGTTAATCCAAACACTGTTGAAGCAAGAGACAGATCCACGGGACCACCCAACGTGCTGCTGAAACCCCATCTCTTAAGGAAAAAAAAGGCTGTATAAAAAATTAATCAAAATAAGACTTAAATATAGATGTTAGAGTAGATTTTTTCCATTCCTGTAATAAGGGTTATTGCATCTTGGACAATTCTAGATTAGACTTGAAGGAAGGCAGCTCATCTTCTAAATGTATAAGGGCTTTTCTGCAGTAGTACGGAATTCGGTATGTCACAGGCCTATTCCCCACCCTGAAAGCATTATGTACGGGCCAAGAACAGTATGGTGGAGAGAATATGGTATAAGGCAGAATCTTAGAGCTTACACAGTGTAGAATTTGAAGTCCCAACGCCCTAAGTTCAGTTATAACAACAACTAATCATATTCTTTATTATATCATTGAATCCTTACAGTAACCATGTGAATGGGTCACATTATTATCACTATTTTAGAGATGAGGAAACTGAGGTTCAGATTGCTTCAAGAACTTTCTCAAGGTCACACAGCTTCAGAGGGTATGGTTTGAAATTCAAGTCTGTCTGGCTTCAGAGCCATGTGCAACCACCTCCTCGTAGAGTACTGCCTGTCCCTCAGGTTCTGGTTGTGCCGCTTACTTGGACAAGCCATGCACTGGGGCAGGTCAGCCTTTACAGCCCTAGTTTCCTTATCCGTAAAATAGGCCCGACCCCACCTTGCAGCCCAAGTGTGGTTGTGACCAGCAAAGGAAAGACTGCTCCATCCACCTTACTGAGCCAAATAAAAATGTGTTGGCAACGTGACATATAGTAAAATGGTCTGCCAGCTGCCCTAATACTTTTTTGTTTATACTTCTAACAAATACTCCTTTTTTGTTTGTATTTTTCAGCAACTCCATTCAAGCGTGAGAACAGGGAATCTTGAAACCTGTTTGAGACTATTGTCTTTAGGAGCACAAGCCAACTTCTTTCATCCTGTAAGAAAACATGAATTGATTCAGATATTAAATTGAAACTAAGTGAGTTGTGTTCATGTAGCCTTTAGTTTATTTAATGTGCTTTTTTGTCTACTTTTTATTAATGATTCTCAGGAGAAAGGAAATACCCCACTTCATGTTGCCTCCAAAGCAGGACAGATTTTACAGGCTGAATTATTGGCAGTATATGGAGCAGACCCGGGCACACAAGATTCTAGTGGGAAAACTCCTGTTGATTACGCAAGGTAAGAGCCCTACATTCTTGCTACTTCTCTCTGTTTGGAATTTTTTATGTTGTGTATAATTCATCATTACATAGCTAAATTGTGTATGATTAACATTTAACCTGGCCAGTCACAGTGGCTCATGCCTGTAATCCCAGCACTTTGGGAGGCTGAGGCGGGAGGATCACTTGAGCTTAGGAGTTCGAGACCAGCTTGAACAAGAGTGAGACCCTGTCTCAAAAAAAAAAAGAACCATTTAACCTCTTTAAAGGTAAGCTCAGCCTGGCAAAGTCAGGGAAGGTAGAATCACAAACCAGTGTACTTAGTTAGCTTCTAATCTTTCACTTGATCCTTTATGTCAGGGTCCAAATCAAACATCAAGAATTACAGAACCCACTCTTCAGTTTTTTAATACTCTTAGTCTTTGCTTGAACCTAAAAGCAAATTATGGATAGATATGTGATTAAACAAGTATAGTAAAAGTTAATTGTAAGTTTTAGGTAGTGGACATCTGGATGCTCACTGTAAAATTCTTTAAATTTTTCTTTATTTGAAAATTTTCACTATGAAATACTGGAAAAATAAGTAAATTTGTAAGTGAGTGTTCAATATCATTTAAATGACTGAAGATGAGTCATCTTTCCTTCTTTTTCCAAATTACTTTTATTAACTGTGAAGTACTGCTCCACAGAGGATAAAATGGGTCAAATGACAAAACTTCGTTGTTTGGAAAGATGCTTCATAAATGCCTGAAAGAGTTAAATGAAGCAAGATTATAGGTGATGCATTGCCAAAATGGACAGTTGATCTTAAAAAGCATAGATAGGGTTTCTTCACTGTGGCCCAAATCATTAAGAAATTTCTTTAGTTGGTTGTTGAGGAGTCGGTTGAATGTGAAGGTGTGGAGGAGAAGCAGAAGCACTCCAGGTGCGAGGAAAGGCACAGTGAAGTTCTGGAGGGAAGGATGGACAGGGCATGCGCAGCACAGCAGGAGACCTGACCGGAGAGAGTAGAGTGTGTCAGGAATAACAACAGGAATGCCGTATTTCATGAGATCTAAGCCTATATTGATTGCACAGGGCAACATTATTTCACATAGCACTAAAAAAGAAAAAAAATTCAGCCAATTAAATTATGATGTATTGTCAATCATAGGGTATTTCCTGACTTTGCAGATGGTAAAAAATGAGGGAAAAAAGATGTGCGTGTTAAAAATCAAAGCTATGTGGTAGGTTGGAGGGTATTATGTAGTAGCTTGAATAGTGGACAAAGAAACTGGCTGAAACTAGGATTTGATCTTGGAAGAGGAAGAGAACCCTCAGTCAGTGATGCTTATTATCACTTACCTTGAAATTTTCTCATTTGTACCTTGCATATAATAATCTCTCCGTGTAATAATTTATTTATATGCCTTTTACTAAAAGGATTCAGAGCAGCTCAAATATTTATTTGGTGAATGAAGAAAGGCAAACTTAATATTCTCTGTTATGGAAATTGAAGGAAAAAAAGAGGCACAAGTAGCTTGAGGTGTGAGCTGTTCATTAGGCTGGTCTGTCCCTAATTCGAGGCCCTTAAACTGGTTACCATATTCTCATCCAGAGTCAGACTGGCTGTACCAGCGTCATCAAGGGGAGGGACCTTTTTCAAAATATTGATGCCTGGGCCCATCCCGTCCTTACTGATTCACAATTTCCAAGGGTGGGGCCTGGACATTGTATGTTTCTAGGAACGCTCTAGTTAATTTTTCAGACCTTCTTTCTACCCTAAACCATTTATTAATTTTATTTTCTCACCTCATTCAATGAAGTTGTGCTTTATCCCTCTCATAATTCTTTGAATCCCTCATTAAGTATTCTATTTTGTGCATTAATAACAGAAAAGGAATAGTTCAGATGGTGAAAAGTGTTTATAAAGGTGAGACTCAAAGTAGACTTCAATCTACCTTACACAAAAAGGCTGATTATTCTAAAAAATCATGTTTGATAAACTGCTCAGGTGTCTTAGGAGATGTCTTTGTACCTTTCTGTTCTGAAGCCAGTGAGTGGCGAGCACTATGAACGGTGCTTTGTTTTCTCTTGGCAGGCAAGGAGGGCACCATGAGCTGGCAGAGCGCCTCGTGGAAATACAGTACGAGCTGACGGACAGACTAGCCTTCTATCTCTGTGGCAGGAAACCAGGTGAGTGAAGGGACAACAACCGCTCCACACCTGGTTCTGGAAAAACAAGTTGGGACCCTATTTTTTATGACCTCCTCTGCTTTAACATATCCTTAAGAAAGTTGTGAATATGGGTTTTTATTTGAAATGATGACTGCAGAATTTTCAGCTGTATGTAAAGGATAGCAAGTTGGTCAAATCTCCTTGAATTTTTAGTTTTTAAAACTTTATTTCAGCTCTAGAACAGTGGCTGTTTCAAGAGTCAGAGAACATAATTGAACCAAAATTGAATATGTACCACAGTCCTTAAACATCGCGGGACTAGGAGTGGAACAGCAAAGCAATAACCTTTGCAGTTATTCGACGAGTCCTACTATCTGAGGAATGGGAAAAAGTCCAAAAGTGAACTTTGCCATCAGCCAACTTGATTATTTGTCAGCAAACCATGGTCTGTGGGCCAAAACCCGCCTATCACCTGTTTTATTAAATAAAGTTTTATTGCAGGAGAGCTATGCCCACTCATGTACGTCTTTCGCATGCTGCCTTCCCACAGCAATGGCAGAGTTGAATAGGTTAAGTAGTTGCGACAGAGGCCATGTGGCCACATGGCCTAAAATATTTACTATTCGGCCCTTGACAGGAAAACTTTGCCAACCGCTGGTGCATAATATCTACAAGCATGTATACAGTGGTTCTCAATCCTGATTGTACGGTAGAGTTAAGAGCCCCTGTTGTGGTTCCAGTTCTGGGTGAGATGGAACAAGCACTGCCCACCCTGTGTCTCCTGCTGAATAGAACTAAAAACCCCGGACCAAGTGCTCAGAGTAGCTATCTAAGGATGCCGAAAAGTAAATCCTAGCTGCTAGATTAGGGGACTCAGAGCACCATGAAGCTGGTGGGGAGTGTCCTATTTATCTTATTTCTGATATAGCTTCAGTGACAGACAGCCTGAAACCTGGAACTGCATGACATAGGCACAAAGAAGCCTCTTTTAGTCTGAGGAGCAGGAAATGGGACTTCTGCAGGACAGAGAGTAAGGGGATTCCCCTGGGGTTTGTCCCTCTTCCTTCTTCCTTTTTCTGATCTCTCCCACCCTATTCCCCAGGCAAGCCTGTGGCAGCAATAGAAGCAGTAGCCAAAGGTGCTTCAATCTCTTTTTTTTTTTTTTTGAGACAGAGTCTCACTCTCTTGCCTGGGACGAGTGCCGTGGCGTCAGCCTAGCTCACAGCAACCTCAAACTCCCGGGCTCAACCAATCCTACTGTCTCAGCCTCCCGAGTAGCTGGGACCACAGGCACGTGCCACCATGCCCGGCTAATTTTTTCTATATATTTTTAGCTGTCCAATTAATTTCTTTCCATTTTTTGGTAGAGACGGGGTCTCGCTCTTGCTCAGGCTGGTCTCGAACTCCTGAGCTCAGAATGATCCACCCGCCTCGGCCTCCCAGAGTGCTAGGATTACAGGCATGAGCCACCGCGCCTGGCCTGCTTCAATCTCTGACCGAGGGCATGAGGGGGATCCTGATTGCTTTTCTTTTTCTCTCTATTCTCTCACCACTTGCCCGGGAGGCAGAACCTACCCCGGTCAGTTGCCTGCTAAAACAAAAATAGTAACATTCTCCATAGAGCTTAAAGAAGACCCAGACACAACATAACATTCAAAATGTCCAGAATACTATCCATAATGATTTGACACATGAAGAACCGGGAAAATCTCACAGACTTGCAAGGGGAAAGCCAACCCCAAGGTGACACAGATGTTGGAATTATCAGAGATTTTAAAGCAGCTAGTAAGACCAAGCTCGAAGAAGTAAGAGTGAACATTCTTGAAACAAATAGAAATATAGAAAATCCCAGGAGAGAAATATTAATAGAAGATGCAGAAAAGAACCAAATAGGAATGTTAGAATTGAAAAATACAATAACTGAAATTTTAAAACTCACTGGATGGGCTTAACAGCAGAATAGAGATGACAAAGAAAAGTCAGTGAATTGGAAACAGAAGGTGGGCTCCATGGCTCCTTCCTATAGTCCTGGCACTGTGGGCGGCTGAGGCAGGAGGATCATTTGAGGCCAGGAGTTCGAGACCAGCCTGAGCAACATGGCAAGACCCCATCTCTACAAGAAAAATAGAAAAATTAGCCAGGTGTGGTGGCGCTCACCTGTAGCCCCAGCTACTCAGGAGGCTGATGCAGGAGGATTATGTGAGCCCAGGAGTTTGAGGTTGCAGTGAGCTGTGGTGACACTATTGTACTCTTGCCCAGGTGACAGAGACCCTGTCTATAACTCACTAACTAAATAAATATATAATAAATTTCAAATGAAAGATGAACTAGAATAGCCAAGACAGTTTTGCAAAAGAAGAATAATTTGGGAAGAAGCACACCACTTAATTTTAAGGCTGTAGAACTTAAGACAGTGTAGTATTGATGAAAAGATTGACACATAGATTAATGAAACCGCATCGAAAATCCAGAAATAGACCCATATAAATATGTTGAATTGGTTTTTGACCAATGTGCAAAGGTAATTCAGTAGAAGGGAGATAGTCTTTTTAATATATTATGTTGGACATCTGTGTGCAGACATCCACATGCAGAAAAATGAACTTCAACCTAAATCTCACACCTTATCCAAAAAATTAATTCAAAATGGATCATAGATCTAAATGTAAAACCTAAAACCATAAAACTTCTAGAAGAAAACATAAGAGAAAATCTTTGTGATCTTGGATTGAAATTCTTAAATATAACACCAAAAGCACAATCCATAAAAGAAAATGTTGATAATTTGTACTTCATCAAAATTAAAATCTTTTGTTCTAAGAAATCTAAGGTTAAGAAAATGAAAAGACAAGACACGGACTGGGAGAAGATACAGGTATTTGGAAATCCCATATCCAACAAATGACTACATCCAGAAGATTTAAAGATTTTTTTAAAACTCAACAGTAAGAAAACCCAATAAAAACTGGACAAAGACAATACATAGATGCCAAAAAAATAAGCACATGGAAGACAAGCCCAGCATCATTAGCCATTCGCACAGTGAGATACCACAACATAGCTATCAGAATGACTAAAATTTAAAAAACAAAACAAAAACTGACAATGCAAGTGCTGGAAAAAACACAGAGCAACTGTAACTCCGTACATTGCTGTTTGGAATACAAAATGCTAGAGCTACTCTGAAAAAAGGTCTAACAGTTTCTTACCTAGTTAAACATACATTTACATATAACCTAGCAGTCCCACTCCTAGGTATTTACCCAAGAGAAATATAGACATACGTTTACGCAAAAACCTGTATATGAATGCTATTAGTGATTTTATTCATTGGTTCATGGATCATTGTCCTCCAGAAGCTAAATTAGGACTGGGTCAGTAAGCTTTGTAGGAGATAGAGTCCCTGTCTTCAAAGTCCTTTGATCTTCAAAGGCCACCTGCCCCAGCCCTGGGTGATTTATACTAATAGTTTAATATGAACGAGCCAATGAGCCACCAGAGCTCAGTGAAGCTCTACCGTCCCACATGGCGAGCTGACAGAAGCCTGCTCTGAGCGACCTCAGCTCCCTGAACACTTTCCATGGCTCAAGATCATCAGCTATCCTGAGGCTAAACTAATCCTAAGGATTGGGGTGAGCATAGGTTTCTGTTTAACAATGTCTGGACCTTTGTACCAGAAGAAAACAAGGATCTGATTCTTGCTACTGGCCAGGTCTTTAGGAATTTGTAGCCAGTCTGGCAACTTCTGTTTTCCCACGTGAGTCATAACTAAGCAAAAATACTAATTGCAAAACTTAAATTGAGAAAGTAATGGTGGTGTTCCTTTGTAGATCTTATCAATATTTATATGAACAAAACTTTGACTTGGTTTCTGTTTCAGATCACAAAAATGGACAGCACTTTATAATACCTCAAATGGCAGACAGGTAAGGCCATTAAAATACCAATTTTATCTGTCCCTAAACTTGGTTGTATAGTGTTTATGTATTTTGTGTTTAACAAAGCCCATACATTTTTCTCTTTTATGGCTATACAATTTGGAAATAAGACGGCTGTAAGTAAACCATCATATAAAACTTAAGTTCGAAAGGGCACAAGTAACAAGTTTACTAATAAGAAAATTGAAATCAGTGATATTGTCACTGTTTTAGCCAGTTGTGACTGTATATTATATCTGTATACTTACAGAATATTTCTGTATTATAAGAGATTATATTCTTTGTCTACGGCAGGGGTTGGCAAACTTTTTTGTCAAGAGCCAGACAGTAACTATCTTAAGCTTTGTGGGCTTTATGGTCTCTGTTGCAACTGCTTAACTCTGCCATGGTAGACAGAGGCATCTGTGGATACTACATAAATGAATGGGCATGTTTGTTCCAATAAAATTTTATTTCTGGACACTGAAATTCAAATTTCATATTATTTTCACATGTCATGAAATATTATTTTCCCCCAGTCATTTTAAAATGTAAATCATGGGCTGAACTAAAAAAAAAAAGGCTGTAATTTGCTGACCCCTGCTTTAAGATTAGACAAGTTCATTGCTGCAGGAAATGAACCTTAAGCCCTTATTTTATCAGTTACCTTTGCATAAATCCTGTCCAGAGTTTATGAAATAATTAGCTGCTATTGTAGATGTGATCTTATAATTCCAGTTTTTTACATCTTCTCTTTTTGTGTTTTCTTCTATTGTGCCCTTTTTTTTTTTTTAACACTTCGAAAATTGTGACTTCTCACATAAGGGCTGCGAGATTAACCTAGTAATAGCTTTTGTCATTTAGTTGGTAGGTGATTTTTTTCTCTTTACCACGTTATATGATTATGTTATTTCTAGGAGTTACTTTCACTAAATTGTTTTGTTTAAAGTTTCCTCACTGACTCTGTTGGACTGTAGAATGATTGACTGTGACAGTGTTCACAAACTGTAATTAATATTTTTATCCCTTGCTATCTTAATCTTCTACAGAGCTCATAAACATGATTTTATTTATTTGCTTATTAGTTTTGTACATTTTCTTAGCAGCCTGGATTTGTCTGAGTTGGCAAAAGCTGCTAAGAAGAAACTTCAATCTGTGAGTATCTCTCTACTGGTGAACTCCAGTATGGGAATCAGTGTATCCTACTGATACTTGTTCTCAGTGCAAGTTACCTGTTGTGTCAGATGGCATTATTTCATACCTTTAGATGTTGTTAAATTAGAAGCAGACCATTGAATATGTAGCAATGAAGACCAAAGGCACTGTTAAGTTTAGTACATCCAACTTTGGGAGGCCAAGGCAGGAGGATCGCTTGACACCAGGAGTTCACGACTAGCCTGGGCAATAGCGAGACCCCCATCTCTACAGAAATGAAAATTTAGAAATTAACTGGTCGTGGTAGCACGCACCTGTAGTCCGAGTTACTCGGGAGGCTAAGGCAGGGGGATCCCTTGAGCCCAGGAGTTCAAGTCTGCAGTGAGCTCTGATCATGCCACTGCACTCCAGTCTCCAGTCTGGGCAACAGAGCGAGACACTGTCTCTTTAAAAAAAAAAAAAAAAAGTTTGGTATATCCAATTTGGCTCTGCTTCAAATAATCGCATTCTTCTCTGCCATGCTAAAAGCGAAGACTGTGCCTTTGACGTTAGGAAGTTGTTTCTCCTCAGTAGAATTCCTAGTTTCTCTCAGTGTGATGCGTAAGTGGGGCACACTTCCTTGGGGTACTTCCTGTGGCCACAGAGGATGCTAGAGAGTGATAAAAGCTGATGCTGGCGTGGTGGCAAATATTGCAGATGCCTTCACTGCTATCTGGGATCCAGCCACGGTTGTAATTCTCTTTTGCCCACCCCTTGCCATGCATAAGACCTTTTTAAGTTAATGCTGTTAAAACTGGTGGTCCCGGCCCACGTATGTGCTCAGTTTGCCGACTCTGCAGGCCAGGGCCCCCCTTTAGTGTCTGTCTTTCTTGCCAGCCTGCCCACCTCAACCGTGGTCAGGGTCCCAGGAAATCTGCTTCTCTGGGGACAATTTCTCCTTGTCTAGTTCACTCAAATGATGCCTCACCAGGGCACTTCCCAGCCATTTTAACCACCAGATTACACCCCTCAGCTATTCTCATTGCTCTCTGGATCAGAACCAAGACTCTTAACTTTTTGTAACCTTTAAAGGCGTCATTCAGCTCTCACCTTTCAGAGCTTGCCCTACTTCCCATCTGGTTCCGTGTGTGTGTGTGTGTGTGTGTGTGTGTGTCTTTGTCTTTATGGATTAACACTCTCTGAGGCCATGAGCTGCCACATTCAAGTCTTCTTCCGGGATCCCTCTTTTGCCTGCAGCGTTTGCCTTTCCCAGCATCCATCCCTCTGACCATTCACGGAGCTGAGCTCTGACCACCTTCACAATGTAGGTAGTAGCTTTCCCGAAGCTTGACTCTGAAGTCAAGCTGACTCTGAAGCCTCCCTAAGTTATGACTTTCTCCTCATCCCCTCTTCACAGAAGACCCTTTACTAGAACTTCATATATGCTATTAAGTATTACATAAAATGAATTTATCCGTGCTAGTATTTAACTGTATTATGAAATAAATGTGTTTTATGCAATTTGTTTGGTGTCTCTGTGTTCTGTATCTACAGTTTTGTGTGTCTGTGTGTTTTATTGCCTTACTTAAATTAAGGAAGTCATATAGTAAGGTGATTAAAATGATAAGCTTTGGAGTCAGATAGCACTAACTATTGTGTGATTTCCTTTTAATCACTCATAATCTATAAGCAAATTTTTATTACCAATAATTCAAAGCTAGATAAAAACCCAGGTTCCGTTTGCCTGTCCTACATTTGCTAGGCTAGAAGCTGCATGAAAGCTGAGGTTGGGTCTGTAGTGTCTCCAGCATGTGGCAGGCATTAAATAAATGTCGGGAACAAAGTGCAGCACAGCTCTCAAGAACTTGGGCTCTGAGTCAAATTGGTCAGTACACATCCTGGCCCTGCCAAGCTCCTTAGCCGCCCTGTGCCTTGGAGTCTTCTCCTAGAAAAGGGATCGAGGTAGAGCAGGGTCTGCAGGTCAGACCAGTCCAGCTCAGTAGGGGTCAGCTGCCACTGTAACGTGTTGGCCCCCACCCTGTGGCCTCACAGGTGGCTGTTCTTATCAGTGCCTGGTATTTATCCTCCACATCTTCTTCTCTCTCCTTCCTTTCCCCACCTTCCCCCACCCTGCCAATGGAAAGCTGAGAGAAATACAACGAAGGCTAATAACGTATTCCTTGAATTAGTAAATGTTAACATTTTGAGAGATTTAAACTTGGATCTCAGGCCTGTCACTTACTAGCTTTGTGACTTTAGGCAGGCTACTAACTTCTATGCCTCCATTTCTTTGTCTGTAAAATGGGACCGTAGTAATTCCTGTCTTCATAGAGGTGTTACGAGAATTAAATATGATACTATTAGCACTGTTAGCACAATGCCTGTGATATAAGCCCTTAATCGGCATTGGCCATTATTATAGTTGTTGTTAGTAATAATAACATTAGCATATAGTCCCTTAGGGGAAAAAACTGGATATTTATGAAGCAAGTTCAGGCTCCCAGTCCATCATCTTATCTGGCAGCAGGCTGTCAGGGTTTATTTTCATTTATAAATGTAATGTGATCACACTAGAGAAAATGTGGAAAATAGAGAAAGGGAACTATCCCATACCACTATACTCTTAATGGAGTCACACTCGGTATTTTGCTACATTTCTTGCAGTTCTTACTTCATATGCATGTGTTTTTATTTTTGAAACTGAAAATCATAATTGTAGCATTTTATATCCTGCTTTTTCCATCCAACAATATGTTGTACGTATTTTAACGCATTCCTGTGAGGCCCGGGTAGCCAGCATTTTTAATTGCTGCAGAAAATACCTTCTGGTCAGTCTGTGAGTGGCTTTTCCTGAGCCCCTCCTGAGTGTGAGGCACTGTTAGTGGCCGTAAGGAACACAGTAGGGAGTACACCAAATTCTGCATCTGCCCTCACAGGGCAGGGAAGCAGTTAAAAAGTCACAGCTGTCAAAGTGTCAGGGTGAGTTTCACGAGGCAAAGAGGGCAGAGGGAGCCAGAGCCGCCCTGGCAGGGGCTTCACCTCATCCGAGCTGGGAAGACTTTGTCCTCCCCGTGCCCGGCCATGGCCAGGCAGGCACTTTAGCCTGCGCGGGGATTGTTTTGTGAGCTGACGCCACACAGTGCACTGATTAGTCAGGCTGCGCTTTGTTAGGGAAGCTCCATTCTCCTGGAGGTTGAGGGACTGCTACTGAGGAAGATAGCCAAGAAATGCAACCCAGGTCTGGGTTGTATTTTTGTGCAACGACACATTTTATCCTCTCAAAGCGGCATGTTTTTGTTCCTTTATCCTGCCCAGGATTTAGGATCCCTTACATGTTGGGTAATGAGCCAACACTGTCCAGAGTGATACCAAAAGAAGAGTAGAGAGTTGGAACCTGCTTTTGAGATGATGCACGTTAGATACCTCTGACCTCCTTAATAGGCCCTGTCTGCGAGTCATAAAGTAGTGAGGCTGCTGTGGGCGGCAGATATTTCTAGAGGCTCTGTATGATTTTTGAAATGTTTTGTCTATTTAACAGTGGGTACTTCCTAAGCACTGGCTTTGGATAGACATTGGAGATAAAAGGGTGAATAAGTCGCAGGCCCTCTCGTCCTCCTGGTGTTAATCGTTGTCCCTTGTGTTCCTGATATTTTTTACTTTCAGCTAAGTAATCATTTGTTTGAAGAACTTGCCATGGATGTGTACGATGAAGTTGACAGGCGAGAGACTGATGCAGGTGACTTAACATGTGGCTTTATCTAATAAGCTTCTGTTATCAGTGGGCAGCATCAAGCTGCCAGCCTCAGTGTCTTACTAGCCCAATTTCTCCTGTCCTGATAACGCGTGTGTCGACATTTACCTTTGCGTATGTTGGCTTCAGAGTGTGCTTCCCCAAGTCTCCCTAGTAACGCGTGAGCCGTGCCTCTCAGAGGAGCAGCGGCACACCCGGTGTGATGACATTCTGTCTCTGGCTCTTTCCTCTGGCTAGTCTGGCTTGCCACGCAAAACCACAGCACCCTGGTAACCGAGACAACCGTCGTCCCCTTTCTTCCGGTCAATCCTGAGTACTCATCAACACGAAACCAGGCAAGTGGCTCAGTTTGAAAATAGCTAGTATTACAGTAGTATTAGGGGAATGGCTGATGTCATGGTATTTCATTTCCCAGGACGAGTATTTTAAGTTTTTTGATTGATTAAAATTTAACATCTTGGGGCCAGATGCTCCTGCCTGTAATCCTAGCACTTTGGGAGGCTGAAGCAGGAGGATTGCTTGAGGCCAGGAGTTTGAGACCAGCCCGAGTGACAGAGTGAGACCCTGTCTCTACAAAAAATAGAAAAATTAGCCAAGCGAGGTGACTGCACCCATAGTCCCAGCTACTTGGAAGGCCGAGGCAGGAGGATCACTTGAGCCTGGGAGTTTGAGGTTGCAGTGTGCTATGATGACACCACTGCACTCTAACCCAGGCAACAGAACAAGACCCTGCCTCAAAAAAAAAAAAAAAAAAAAAAAAAAATCTTTTATACACACATCTACACACAACTCACAAAATGATAAGAAAAGCAATAGCTGTAAATAGATGACTGGGAAAGAATATAAAACAATTCACAGAAGAAATATAAATGGCTTACAAATGTGAAGAAATGTTTAACCTTATTAGTAATCAAAGAAAGCAGCCTAAACACATTAGTGAAAGTTTCTTCAATCATATTAATAAAATACATAGTAAAGGATATTCCAAGCTGGATAAAATGTGGGAAGCTGGGCTTTCTCATGCTACAGATAAGACAAATTAAAGTTGCTGTAGACTTCAGAAAAGCAATTTGTTTACCAGTTTCAGAAGCCTCAAAATTAAGTACATCCTTTACACAGGAATTTCTCATTTGGGAATATGCTCTAATAAAAATAGATTTCTGCACAGTGATTTTCATCAAAACACTGTATATGATAACAGAACTTTAAAAACAGACTAAGCACCCATCAAGAGGAGAAATGTGGAGTAAAGTAGGAAGGTGTTTTAGTCTTTATGATTAATGGCTATATGTGAGCATATAGCCACACCTGGAGTGTAACTTTTTCTTGAAATTTAAAAATTTCCCTCCAAATTAATTTTCGTTACTGAGTTTACTTCAACACTGAATCCATAGTAGATGAAAAACATTAAGGTGAACGATTTTATTTTTGCTCACAAAAATAAAAATGCATTGTGAGAACTTGAATGTTATGAAGTTCTCTTATATAAATGATTTTAAATTGTTCATATGGAAAATATTAAGGTTTGATTCAATTATGGCTGTGATTCATTATACTTTGATCATGCTGGAAGGTCTTTGGAGAAGTCTAACTAGTTTTGCATGGCTGTTTGTGTATGTATTTTTACATTGAGGAATATTTCCAATTATTTTCTCACCCTCAGGGCAGGCAGAAATTAGCTCGGTTCAATGCCCACGAGTTTGCCACACTGGTCATCGACATTCTCAGTGACGCCAAGAGGAGACAGCAAGGCAGCCCTCTCTCTAGTTCTAAAGGTAACTGCTCAAACCTCTACGTGTTTGCTTTTTTGGCTTTCTAAACTTGCCACACATGTTAAATTTAAAGTTATAAACTAATTAAAGCAGTCAACAGCACAACAGCTTAAAGTCCTGTAAGTTTTATTGGTGATACGTTGTGTGCAGAATTTACCTGTTTGGACCCTGGTGAATTAACAATATTTCAGGTTTATCTTATATATGATTTTTTTTTCTCCTTTTGGGTCACTTAACTTCCCTATAAGATTGCACCCTGAAATTAACCCAGAAGTCTGACTTAGATCTTGTTAAAGAATGTAAGAAAATGAACTCTTGATTGAAATGGCATCTCCCCTGCTGTTGCTTACGTACAAAACTGAGTTCTAAGTAAAATTTGTTGCTGTAAACTTCAAATGTCTACAGTGAGAATTATTGTGATTTAAAATCATAAACAGAGCACTGGGCATCTGTCTCAGAGGTGCCCTGTTGAGTAGTTCAGTACTCAGGGTCCTGTCTACACGCTTAAGAATGTACTTCTTCTCCACCCTTATTACTGTATCCTTATTGTTTTTTTCTAGTTATAGAAACCATACTTTTTTACTGAAAAGCATTTAAACAAAAGAAATATGTACTGTAAAAATTAAACTTTCAGTCAGTATCACGTTCCCCAAAGACAATAATCATTAACCAACAGCAGTTTGTTCTTTCCTCTTGCCTATTCAGGAATCTGATTTTTATCAGTTCAACCAGAAATAAGGAAGTTCTGAAAAGGTTTATTAAATTTTGGTGAAGGCTCAGTGACAAGAGTCTTTGTATAAATTTGAAGTCTCAAAATGTGCCTGCTCTTTGATTTGATAGTTCCATTCCTTGGCGTTAATTGAAGGGAAATAATCAAAGATGTTATATGCATGTTATGTATAACAGCAAAAACATTAGAAACAACTAAATAATAGAGGAATAATTAGTCACATATTTAAATGGTACACATCTTTTTCAGAGAATGTGTAATGATATAGGATAAAGTAATAAATTTTTTTAAACATTTAGTATAAAATCCCAGTTTTGTAAGGAAAACATACACACACACACACACACACACTCGTATACAAGTGATCATGCCTCATGTAAGTATAAATACAAAATTGATCCTCATCTGCACATTCCATATTTGCAGATTCATCTAACTTGCTAACATTTATTGTAACCCCAAAATTAGTACTAGAAGCACTTTTCAAGGTCATTCTTGGACTTCTGCAGAATGGCAAAAAATTTGAGTTACCCAAACACACATTTCTAGCTGAGGTTAACAAAGTGATTCCCTGCCCTCTTATTTCAGCACTCATACTATAGAAAAATGTCCTTTCCTTAGTCTATTTAGTGCCATGTTTTTCACATTTTTGTCCTTTCTGTTGGTGATTTAACTGTTCAAAAACAGCCCCCAAGGCCGGGCGCAGTGGCTCACGCCTGTAATCCTAGCACTCTGGGAGGCCGAGGCGGGCGGATTGTTTGAGCTCAGGAGTTCGAAACCAGCCTGAGCAAGAGCGAGACCCCGTCTCTACTAAAAATAGAAAGAAATTAATCGGACAACTAAAAATATATAGAAAAAATTAGCCGGGCATGGTGGTGCATGCCTGTAGTCCCAGCTACTCGGGAGGCTGAGGCAGGAGGATCGCTTGAGCCAGGAGTTTGAGGTTGCTGTGAGCTAGGCTGACGCCACGGCACTCACTCTAGCCTGGGCGAAAGAGTGAGACTCTGTCTCAAAAAAAAAAAAAAAAAAAAAACAGCCCCCAAGCGTAGTGCTGAAGTGCTGTCTAGTGTTCTAAGTGCAAGAAGGCTGTGACATGTCCTGTGGAGGAAATGTATGTTCGATAAGCATTGTTCAGGCCTGATTTATAGTGCTGTTGACCATGAGTTCAATGTTAATGAATCAACAATATGTGCTAAATAAGGTGTCTTTAAACAGAAACACGCATAAAACAGGGTTACATATTGATCCGTTGATGAAAATCTGACCAGAGGTTCTCAGGAACCTAACCCTATGTTTTCCCAGGAGCACTGATTCAGTAGTGGCTAACTCAGTGTTCACAGCAACTTTTTAGAACATAACTACTAAGAATAATAAGAATTGACTGTGTGTATATATATGTGCTTTAAAAAAGACTAGAGTATTAACTGACTTAACTGACTGACACTGAAGTGCTCATATAGTAGAAACATTCATCGGGTGTTGGGCAGGTGGGAGCGGGGAGGAGGGGATGGGTATATACACACCTAATGGGTGCGGTGCGCACCATCTGGGGGATAGACACACTTGAAGCTCTGACTCAGGTGGGGCAAAGGCAATATATGTAACCTAAATGGAAATGCACGCCCGTAATATGCTGAAACAAAAAAAATAAAAGTACCTATGGGCAGTAGTTCTATATTTTCCATCAATTTTCTAATTAAAACAGGACTTGGAAGAAAAAAAGAAATAGATCAACATGTAACAATGGCTGTGATTACTCCATCTTCCTTGTTCATTAGTTTCCAAGTTTTCTATATTGAATCTTTCTTACTTCTGTAATCATTATGTTTTTAAATATTAATTTTAAAAATTAAAAGAGAACCTAGTCCTTTTAAGTAACTATAATTCATCACCCAGATATCATCCATCAAGATATCTAGGAAACAATTTTAGAAATCAGAGGTTAGCTTGAGTTGCCTGAAAGAAATTGGAGAGATTTAGGTAGTTTGTGAAATCTTTTATTCAAAATGTGTTAGAGCTTGTAGAATCCTCCCTGGTTCCCTATGGAATAGACACTCCTAATGACATCATTGTGTATCCTTTGGATTTATTCTCCTCTCCGCTTCTCTCTCTCTCTCTCTCTCTCTCTCTCTCTCTCTCTCTCTCTCTCTCTAGGATTCAGGTGACTAAATGCCAATGTTCCTATTCTTTGAACACCTAGTTTCTAGGCTCTGGTTTTAACAATTTGCTTTCTGTTTTGACTTGACATTACCTTATAAGCAAGTTACAGGTATTAATCAAATTACGGTTTATCTTATTAGTTACAGCTTTATCTTGGTGATCTGAGCTGTGCTCTGTGTATAGAAACTTGGGAGCCCGCCTCCTTAATCTGAGCAGCTCTTTCCTAAGCCATCTCCTTAATTTGCCCATATTTGGCAGGTAGATCAGAGGAATGCTGGAATCTCTCTATGCAGCTGTCTTTCTGATGGAAAATTTCTTCTGTTATCCCTATATTGGTGTGAAAATAACATTGCTATTTCTGTCTTCTTTCAGTAAACCAAAAAATCCTTCCAGTCATTTTTTGGAAGAAAAAAAGATGTTTCAAGCCTGAAATAAAGTTATTTGCTTCTGTTGACAGACAGCGTGGAGCTCATACTGAAAACAGTCAGTAACCAGCACAGTATTGAGAGTCAAGACAATGACCAGCCAGACTATGACAGCGTGGCCTCAGACGAAGACACGGATTTGGAAACCACTGCAAGCAAAGCAAACCGGCAGAAGGTGAGAGGACACACTTCACACAGAAGGGCGAATGTGTTTCTTTTAAAAATCTTTCTCCTGCAAAATTGCCTAATTTGTCAGTCATGTGAAGGCTAGCCCTACGAAAGGTGCCGTGGAGGTAAGGTTGGGTTTATTACTAGCTTGGGCTAGTAATAGCCCAGCAGGGGGAAAACAAGGTAAACGGTTTTAAAATAGGGGATCCTTTGTCCCTGAATTGCAGCCCTGCTGCAGTCGTGACTTTATAAAACTTGTGAGGAGCGACTGGTGTGCTCTATGCATTCAACAAATGTTTACTGAGTGCCTTCTATGGATAATGCTCTCCTGGACGAGGCCTAGTCCCTTTCTCGTGAGGAGTCACTGCCCAGCAGAGAGATACTTGCAGGAGAAGGCACAAAGTGACACGTGTCATCCGAAGCCCAACCAGAAGCTGAGGGAGTGCGAGGAGAGAGGACTTGTTGCTGAATCGGGACAGGCTTTGTAAATGGGATGGCTCTTAGGGTGAGCGGTAAAGGACACATGGGAGGTGGCATGTGGAGCAAGCAGGGAAGGGCAGCACAGACAGAGAGTGAAACCTGCGCATCTGGGGGCAAAGCTGGGCATGCGAGGGACGTAGGGACAGCCTAAAAGGGGTGGGACTCAGAGCTTCAGTAAAGGAACATGACGCCAGACTGAAGAGCCTGGGCCTTGCGGGGCATGCAGAGCCCAGGAAGCTTTAGGCAGGGTAGGAGGGCAAAGGCCAGAGCTATGTCTGGGGAGGACTGTTCTGGTGGGTCAGAGAGTGGGAACCCAGTTAAGGTACTTTCAAAGAAATCCAGACAGGAGCCGACACGGCCACCTCAGGGCCTGGGCTAGGAAGGCCCAGGTGAGAGAAAGACGTTGGCACCAGAGTATGAGCCTGGGGAGAGGGTGGCAGGCCCTGGGTGATCCATACTCCGCTGGTCCCTGGGACTAGCCCACAGAGGGGCTCAGCAAACATATGAGAATGGATGAATGAGAAGGTAGAACAGAAAAATCTTGGCAGTAAGTTGGAGGGTTGAAGTGGGGAGATAGACTTCTAGAAGATGTGTCCAGAGTTTTCTGGCTTGCATGACTGTGAAAAGGGTGGTGCCATTGGCAGATGCAGGGGACGCCCCTGCCCAGACTCCCTGGAAGCTGCCCTGTTCCCTCAGTGAAGGCCAAGGTCATTCCAGGACCCTCCGTGACTGCCTGGCCTCCTCTGCCCTCCACCCTGCACACCTGCTCCCTCTAGATGAGCTCTGCAGCTGCTGGAACATTCTTCCTCCACACCTGTCTGACTGATCCCCTCACCTCCCAGGCTCTTGCTCACCTCTCACCGACTCACAGCTCACGCCAGCTCCCAGTTAACACGCAGCCCACCTCCACCCCTGCTTCGGCCCCTCAGCCCCCTGCCCTGCTCCATCTTATCTTTTTCCACAGCACTAATCACCTTCGATCATACCGTGTATTTACTTATTTTTATTTTTTCCTTCTCTCATACTGCTGGGATGTAAACACCATGGAAGCAGGAATTTTTGTCTCTTTTCTGATATATCCCAAGCACATAGAACACTGCCTAATGCTCAATAAAAATGTTGGAATGATTGAATTAATGAAAGAATGAATAAAAAAGAAAAAAAAATAAGCGAGAGAAAGGCTTTTAAGACAGGACAGACCTCCTTAGACAGTCACTGTCAGCGTAGATTTGTAGCCCCACTACCTGTTCCAGTAGAAAATATTGCCTTTTAAATCATTGAAATATTACTTAGTGACCCTACTTCTATGTTTAGTTTTACATTACTCTCAGAGGCCTTGATTTGGTTTAGCTTTGCAATTCAGCTGGCATGGTCAGAATATGAAATTCTTTAGCTGTTAGTCTTTAATGTTATCGTCATCTCAGATTGTGAACATTTTCCCCAATTTATTTTTAGAGCCTAGATTCAGATTTATCAGATGGACCAGTCACTGTGCAGGAATTTTTGGAGGTCAAAAACGCTCTAGTGGCTTCTGAGGCCAAGATACAACAGCTAATGAAGGTGAATAACAACTTGAGTGACGAGCTGAGAATTATGCAGAAAAAGGTAACATGTTAATAAATGCCAGGAGGGTTGACTCTTTAATCCCATAGTACGAGGAAGATCCCCAGGCACCATGCTTGTGGTCAGAGGGAAGAAAAACAGTTACTCTAACAGACCTAGAAATCTTTGGGCCAAGCTGTCTTTTTGGAAGCAGGATGTGTTTGGATATTTGAAATAAAATAGCTTTGATTAGAAATATATCCAGAGTAAGTTCCCCAAGTAGGAGAAATCTGACAACCTATTTGTTAAGTGTTTGTATTAGTTGTAATAACCTTTGCACTTTTCTGTGCGTCCTGGGAACCTGGACGTGAGTCTTCCTATTGCTAGTTCTAAAGGATAATCGCACCATGGAGAAAGAGCAGATGAAAGCCCTGGACGGGTGTACATGTCTATCAGCACTCAAGCCCCACCCCACACCCGGCAAGGTGCTCCCTGTTCATTCTGACTCTGAGTTATTACCCACCTCTGCCCAGCCAGCCCTATCCCACATTCCTGCCTTATTTTTCACTGGTTCTTGCCACTTACCTGTGGTATCTTCAGAACCTAGAGCAGGGCCTAGGGTTCAGAGCGGCTTCTCAGTAAATAAGGGAAAACATTTAGTTTGTACTAGCAAGAACTGCATGCTAGTAAGGAACAATCCCATTTGTTCAGCATTTTCTCATGACTTTTTGAGAGAAGCAGAACTGTACGAATACATTAATCCCTTGAAGAAGAATGGCTGATAGCAGCAAGGAATACGCTAAGGCGGAGGGTTACATATGTACCTCTTTATGAGAAGGCTAAGAAAAAGAAGTTGAAAAATTCCAAATTTTGCCCTTGACTTTGTGGGTATTGCTCCCATCATTCAGTTCTCTTCAAAAATGAGATCTTCTACACTCCCCTTAAACAGAAACAAAGCGAACTATGTAATCTGTGTCTTTATGCTGTCATTTGAGGAACATTTCCATATCATTTTCAAGACCTGAGGACATGGTGCATTTCATTCGTGGCTGGATCCTTTTCAAAGCTGCTTCCTAAAGGAAGGTCAAAGAACTAAAAAGGGGCCCATGCTCCTCTACTTTCTAGGGAAGTAAATTGCTGTGCACCTTTGCCTGGGGTTTGGTCTACTATTCTTTTGGAGTTGAGCTCTAGATATTTTTTGAGACCGTTTGAAATAAACGGCTCTGATACCTGTAGTAGAAGGGAACAAGAATGCCTGAAGATCAGTCAGCTTCGAACAAACAGACCCTTGCTCTGTGCCTCCCAGCCCTGTCTAGAGCCCCTTCGTCGTAACATATAGGACTTGCACTACCTCTGCCTTTTCTGAAATATATTTTGTTTAGTAGATTTGTAGTAATTTGTCCCATTAATTGGACCGATAATTTTATTGAGGTAACTTTTTCTGAAACATGCTGATTTTTGCCATTGTATACCAATCTGCTACACACCACGTTTTTTAATTCTATAATGCTCCTTTCAATGTTTATAGAACTCACCAGAGAAAGCAAATGTCTTTAGCTTCTCTAAGAAATGCACAGTGAAATTGCCTTTGCTCGTTGATTATCCCTTGATTCTCAGAAATGCTTTTGATTTTTGGAAATGATTGAATTATCTGCAACGTTTTGTTTCCTGTTAAACTCCTTCCAAACAAAAAAAGTGTAGCCTGGTTCTTATTAAGATAAATATCATTAAAATTTATCCGAGGACATCTCTCTAAATACAGAGTACTAACAGTTTTTTTTTTTTTTTGAGACAAAGTCTCTCTCTTTTGCCGGGGCTCGAGTGCCGTGGTGTCAGCCTAGCTCACAGCAACCTCAGACTCCTGGGCTCAAGCGATCCTTCTGCCTCAGCCTCCCGAGTAGCTGGGACTACAGGCATGCGCCACCATGCCCGGCTAATTTTTTTTCCTATGTAGTTTTAGTTGTCCGATTAATTTCTTTCTATTTTTAGTAGAGACGGAGTCTCGCTCTTGCTCAGGCTGGTCTCGAACTCTTGAGCTCAAGCAATCCGCCCGCCTTGGCCTCCCAGAGTGCTAGGATTACAGGCGTGAGCCACCGCGCCCAGCCAAGTACTAACATTTTTAAAAACTGAAAATAGGAACTTGTGCTCATGAAAACACATTCAGACAAAATCCAGGCTGGATGTTTTAGAGGCATGAGACGTGTTAGGATAGAGTTTCAGATTTCAAGGCCTTAACTGAGAAACTGTAACAGAAACTTTTTCCATAGACAGACAAACATGTGACTCGATGCACCAGTGCCCTGTTGAGGGACGTGTGTCAGTCATGCTCCTCATTCTTGGGACTCTAAGCCATGGGTTCCCTACGAAATAGTTTTGACAGGCCCCTCATGCCTGTCTGTCTCTCGGAATGTAGGAATTTGCAGTGGCTGCTTTGCACTTTGCAGCTGTTCTTTCTCTGGAAAGAGAGCTGCAGATATGAGGTGTGCCCCGACAGCCTTGGTGGTGTGGAAGCAATCTATCATTCCATAATGGCTCGCTCTTCACGGAAACCGAGAATGAGTGGCCTTTCCGAGGAAGAGGCAGGAAGTCACCCTTTCACAGAGGTTTGGCGCTGTTCATGTGAAGTATGTGGAATTGGTTTACTTAGCAAAGATGTATTGGTTTCATTTCAAAGTTAGGTAAAATTTTTTTTTTTCTATATGGCTAATTGACAAAGTAGCATGATTTATATCTGATCTTTCACATTTAACAGTTGCTTGGAAAAGATGCTAATTAATGAAGAGGAGCAACTACTGTTGGTGTATTTTTCACAGATCGGTGCTTTCTAAATAAAAATTGAAAGTAACTCCCAACATTGAATGGGTTTGCTATTGAGAAAGTAATGATCTTCTGGTGCAGACAGTTGCTTGTGGACTTAAACCTTGGCACTGGTGGGGAATTTGGTCAGATTTTACAATCTCTGTCAAAGAGTAGACAGCTGAACTCACACCACACCCAGCTTGTAAAATGTCACGGAAGATGAAGGAGCACCAGAGGGGAAGGACACTGTGCAGAATGGACGCAGCTAATTGTGTTTAAAGTGCCAGATGCTAAAGAGTAACACGATTCCTTGCTGATCCCTTAACTCTAATTCATCCAACACCATGAAGCTGCCTGCATGTGAGGAATGGAAAGAGCGTTCAGGGCCTCCGAGTGACAGTCTCTAACTAAAATGGGTGGTGCCAGACAGAGTAGCGTGTCCAAAGCTGACACCACCGTGGTCGTGTTTTTTGGGTGACAAAGCCAAAGGAGAGAAAGGCCAAATATTCCAGCCCTGGCTGAAAGATGATCCATCACCAAAGGGAAGCCAGCATGCCACATGGAGCATTCTCATGAAGATGTTAACATAGTTCCATAGGTTTCCCGTTTTCTTTGTTGATATGTTAATATAGCAAACTTCCATGATTCGGTTCCCTCTATTTTTTTTTAAAAAAAGTGCTGAATTGTTTGGAATATCAAGAGTATTATGTAATAAAAACCTGTTAATCATAATTTTTCTTGTTGGCTTTTTGGAAAGCAATAGCTGATCTGATTTTTCATAAGCTGAACTTCACTGTCTTTCTTGCTTTGCAAAGCAACTCTAGTAATCTTTGTGCTGCTTCCATGGTGTCTGCTGTCATTTTTGGCATTTGCAAATTGCTCAGGGCTCATTTGAAAAAGCAAGTTCCCTAAGTGATGTTTTAATGATCTCAAGCTCTTGCTTGAGACTTAGAATAATCCAGAGTACAGCTTGCCTGCAAACATTTCCCAGCCTCGCCATGGCAAATGTTTTAAGTGGTTAGACATTTAGTTTTTTAAAAGTCCAAACTGCAACTTTCCACATTCAGAAATTAAACTGTTTGCTTACGTGATGAGGTGAGTTGATTGTGTTTCACTCATTCCAGAAGAAAGAGTTCTTGTTTGTAGTTGCTTTTTACTTTCAACCTAGCTAGCCATTATTATCCTTATTGTTTAAAGCTGGTAGTCATATTCATTGACTTGGTGTTTGCTTTTTCTGCTTGCTATAAGAAAACACAGTCCCACTGCCAAACATTTCTTTCAGCTTCAAACACTCCAGAGTGAAAATTCGAACCTCAGGAAACAGGCCACAACCAATATATATCAGGTGCAAACTGGTTCTGAGTACACAGACCCTTCCAACCACTCTTCCTTAAAGCGACGTCCGTCTGCCCGGGGCAGTAGGCCCATGTCCATGTACGAGACGGGATCAGGTCAGAAAGCGTATCTCCCAATGGGAGAAGCGAGCCGTCCCGAAGAGAGCAGGACGAGACTCCAGCCCTTCCCCGCACACGTAAGTAACACCACTGGCGCTTTCGCTGTTCGCTCTCTCTGTAGCCTGACTCCTCTGTCCCCTCTTCCGAACCTGCAGATCCCCATGCCTCTGCTTTGCCAAATTGAGCTGAGAGAGTTGCCATTGTGTTTGCTGTATTAACATGTCTACAGATGCTTGCGACATTCCCACGAGCACACAGGGCCATGGACTGAAAGTTCTTCAGCCAAGTTGGGGATTCTGGCTCTTGTCGACTCCCACTCCCCTTTTCTCTCCTGTATCCATTATGTATTTCCCAACCAGCCAGTATTGGAAATTTTTTTTTGGTAAAACTTCCCTCCTTCCTCCCTCACTTCCAAAAACAGTAACCAATTATAAAGGTCACTCACAGAAAGAAGTGTCATCTTCTTTGAGATGACAGGGATGTGCCCCTTTATGAACCGGAGCCCTTAGAATCCAAGATGCCTTTTCAGCTCCTCCCACTTGAGCGGGTGACCTTTCACCTGTGGCCCAGACACACAGGCAAGTCTGGAAGGCCCCAGGCCTCTGCAGCCTGTCCACGTGCGCTCAGTGTGTCTGCTGAGCTAGCTTCCGCATCCTCCTCCTCCTCTCCATGGAGACAGCCTGGCTTTGTCATCTCATAAAAAGGAAACGTCATACTCTCCATCAGTCTTGCAAGTGTTGAATTCCAATGATTATATTCTGTTCCAGGGTTCTAACAATCTTATTTTGCAATGGGATGAATATTGTGTTGCGGGGTTCTCAAATATTATGTTTCTTCTGGATTAATGTATTATGAAAATTTATGTTTTGACAAAACGTTAGACATTTTGAACTTTTTTATGTGGTGTTTTTCCAGAGAATACTATTTGAGTGTCAAAATATATTATTTCTCTAGTCAAATTTTATAGGAGTTTCAAAAAATTTTTCCAGGTGAATGCAAAGTAAAGGATATGGTCTAGATGAAACCCTACTTTAATTTCGTCAAATTTTAATGTAATGAAATTACAGTGTTGTTATATTGTATATCTAATATTTGGAAGGCCATTATCTCAACTTCTTTTTAAGTTGTTTGGGTTTAACATTCTAAGGCAATTGATTTTGTACATTTGGTGTAATGAGAATGCCATTGAACTAAATTAATAATCTTATATAACTGGAAATAGAATTTAGGACAAGCAACCTTTGTTAGTTTTCACAGTGTACTTTTTTATTTTAGAAAAATTTAGCATGTAAGGATGTCATACTATTGCAAAAGCTATATAATATACTAAAAATCAGATTAATAATGTATACCAACTTACAATCATTTGTATAGTTTCTCATTTCATATTGTCAGTCCTGATTAAAAAACAAATGTTCACTTCAGGCTACCCATAAAGAAAAACTATCGGTAAATTTGACAGATCATGCTAGGTATTGTCTTTTCCCTTATGGAAAAGTAGCCTTATTAAATTCAGAGCAGTTTCTGGGAGGTGTTTCACTAAGGGTTTAAACATCTCTGGGGATCTGTCACCAGCCGTCACCAAGATTTTAGCACTCATCTCATGTACTAAGTTATTTTCCAGGATTCTTTTACCAAAGCCAGGTGATATGGTAGGGTTTTTTGTTTGTTTTGTATTTTCCCGAGTGTGTTTCTCTTTCCCCTTCTAGATCGGGAGGAGTGCGCTTGTGACCTCCTCTTCATCACTGCCTTCCTTCCCCTCCACACTTTCCTGGTCGAGGGACGAAAGCACCCGAAGGGTTAAGTACACTCTAAATGGTCTGCTCTCTGGAGGAGGGGCAGTGCTCCTGTGTGCTTTGTGCTTGGGTCCTCCTGTCCCTTGCTAACTGCCCTTCATCTTGCATGAGGCAGCGCTTCCTGGTTTCTCACAGCACGTGGGGTGCACACGCACGCACGCAACACCTGTCCAGAGGCGGCCTCCCTTTTGTCTAACTCCACATTGCTCATTTTCACATCATATTTAACAAGTTCACAAATCACCCTTATAGCATTTATTCTGAGCATACTGTCTTTTTAAACAATCAGAAAATTAGCTGGCTGCTGGTCAAATATTGTAATAGGGTAAACCTGTTAAATTTGTTAAGAGCTACAGTTATCTGATTAAAACTGCTATATTTGAACTAGCTGAAGCACTAAAACATCATGCCTTTATTTATTTATTTATTTATTTATTTTGAGGCAGTGTCTCTATTGGCCAGGCTGGAGTGCAGTGGCACAATCATAGCTCACTATAACCTTGAATTCCTGGGCTCAAGTGATCTCCTGCCTCAGCCTCCTGAGTAGCTAGGACTACAGGCTCATACCACTATGCCCAGCTAGTTTTTAAATTTTTTTTGTAGAGGTGGGGGATCTCGCTATGTTGCCCAGGCTGGTCTTGAACTCGTGGCCTCAAGCCATCCTCCTGCCTCAGCCTCCCACAGTGCTGAGATTATAGAGATGAACCACTACACCCGGCCTTTATTTAAACCTGTGACACATTTTATATCAGTACCATACTTGACAAATGAAGGTTTTACAGTCCCTGCATCCTGAATCAGAATTGTTAACATCTAGTGGCGCTGGAGGCATGCGGGCAGCTATTAACAGAAAGCCTTTCACTTGTATTGGCTGATCAACCCCAGCCTGCTGGTGTGTAACTTTACCTTCTCCATAGCAGTGCCTGATTCAGGTAAACTCCTTTTATTGTAGCCAGGCAATAAGTATTAAGTACCTTCTCCATACCTAGCCTTTTGGTAAGTCAGTTAAACGGTCCTAAGGAATTAGGTGGCACAGTGCCTACTTCCAAAGTCATCGTCAATAAATAATTTCATACACAAAGAGTACATGACTGGCCGGGCGCGATGGCTCACGCCTGTAATCCTAGCTCTCTGGGAGGCCGAGGCGGGTGGATTGTTTGAGCTCAGGAGTTCGAAACCAGCCTGAGCAAGAGCGAGACCCCATCTCTACTAAAATTAGAAAGAAATTAATAGGACAACTAAAAAAAATATATATATAGAAAAAATTAGCCGGGCATGGTGGCACATGCCTGTAGTCCCAGCTACTCGGGAGGCTGAGGCAGAAGGATCGCTCGAGCCCAGGAGTTTGAGGTTGCTGTGAGCTAGGCTGACGCCATGGCACTCTAGCCCGGGCAACACAGTGAGACTCTGTCTCAAAAAAAAAAAAAAAAAAAAGAGTACATGACTGCAACCTGGCAAAGTCATGGAAAGAGCACAGACTTTGAAGACCTGTGTTCTGATTCTGGCTCAATTGATTTTTTTTTTTTTTTGGTGGAAGGATAGTGTAAGGAAGGTGGCTGTGGGTGAAAGACCACCTTTACAGACAAGGTAGGATTTGCACTGGGCCTTTGCCCATTCCCTCTACACCTAGGAATGATTTAGGAATGATGGAGAATCCTTCTTCCCCACTACCAGTAGCATATGGCTCACAAAGGTCCTTTCGGGATTCTTTTTTTTTTCTTTTAAGGATGGAGTCTTGCTATCTTGCCCAGGCTGGAGTACACTGGCTATTCACAGGCACAATCATAGCTTACCGCAGCCTTGAACTCCTGGCCTCAAGCAGTCCCCCCACCTCAGCCTCCTGAGTAGCTGGGACTAAAGGCATGGACCACCATGCCTGGCCCTTTTGGGATTTTTTACTAAACTTTTGAAGCAGTCTATTAAAAAGAATTCTTGATAAGCAGTTCTGAAATTGAACTGTAATGTTTTCATTACGATAATTCCAGTTAAACTAAAGAACATTTAAACAGTAATGAAATACCTCATTTGAAATTTTGTTAGTAAGACTCAAACAAACTTCTTTGTCCTTTGTGAAATTTGTTTTTTTAAAAAAAATTTTTTTTTTTGGTAGCTTTGAAAATCATTGCCAGGACTGCTTGCTGAGACCAAGTTTTGTACAAAATTAACAGTTAAGACACTTAAAGTGAAATCCCGATTGTTCCTGACAGCTTCATTGTGGCTTTAGATTTTTGTGGAGTGTTTGTATTAAGAGAAAGCTGCAAACCTATTAAATAAACTGAACCAGCACCAGCTATAACGTAACTTTTCTATTAACAGCTTTGAGAGAGCAGCACTTTTAACCAGTAGCTCTTGGCTCTGCATGTTTACAATAATTTTCATAAAATTAAATGCTGACTACATTGGGATCCTGTACATATGCTTTTGTTGACAACGATGAAGGACTTAAAGTGTAAGTAACTGATTTCCTGGGTGGTTGCTACAGTATGTTGTTTTCTGTCCCTGAGAAACATTTCCTGAGTGCTTTTATTAGGTATATGAGTCATTGCTGTTCTAAAATGTTTAAATGAAACTTCGTACATTTGCTCATTGTAAGTAATGCATTTGATTTGTAATTATCAAATTTATATCAAGGAAGGCAAAAAGATACATTATAAAAATGTTGGATTTGGGGAGTTTAATTCTATTATAGATTTTTTCCACTGGAAGCAGCTCTGGACGAATTTTTCAGTATAATTATTTAAATGCAAGTTTTTACCCATTTGCGTATGTATATATACACACAAACAGACATATCTGTGTGTGGGCGTATATAAAAAAAACTAAAGGAAAATAAATGTAAAGGTTAGTCAGACATTCCCTGTGAAAGGTAAGAAGAGTTTTGGGGCTTTTTGAGATCATCTCTGGAAGACCCTGGTTTCTGTTCCCGCACTGGATACGGTGTGTGCCTTTGGTCTTCCTTCGAGACTTCTAGTAGCCACTGACTCACTAATTTGTTCATCAAGCCAGATCAAAGCAAGGCAGCAAGCGAAGCAGAACTACTTACTGGTAGGAGATAAAAACAAAGGGATCTTAAAAGTTGTAGTAGATTTCACAGAACTTAGCTTTACAGACTCGCCATGTGGCTCCAAGCCAACACTTAGTCGTTTGCCAAAAGCATCTGCGTAGGTAAAGTGTGACGAGTTCATGTTGAATTTTAGGAGCCCAAAGCAAGTGTCTTCTGTGAGAGTGGCTAGGGACTCAATAGAGCATTTGGGGAAATGTGAAAGACCTTAGCAGACAGAGAAAAGAGAGCATTTGCCCTGGGGGAGGAAAAAAAGAGGCCATGGGGGATGGAAATGAAATGGGGCATGAACAAGGAGAGGCTCCACCTTGGGGCTGGCTGCCTTGCCTATACCAATGCGTATTATCGTTAATGAGCAAATAATTAGACTGATGCGGGCTTTCTTTAAACTGGCCTACTCAAAAGTAGTCGTTCTTTTCAGTGAAGCTACAGGGTCTCCATATGTTTAAAGAAGCCTCTTAGTTTACGATATCCTTAGCAACACTTTATTGCAGCATTGGTAAAATTCCGTAGTCACGTGTTTTGATTACTTGGATTAAATTCAAGGTATAGAGCTAGGAATAGCTTATACTTGTATTTTACAAGGTAATCCGTTTGAATCAGCTTCTATCAATTTATGTTCTGGATAAAGAAGTTCTCGAATATCATGGATAAAATAAATATCGAGGGAAAATAATTTTTACTAAACACTCCAGAACGTAGTCCCCTTCAAAGGAATATAGTCCCCTTCAAATTTTGTCACCCTGGAAGGCCCTGGATTTAGCAGTGCTGCCATTTGCTCACAGCATTTTTAGGATTCCTCTTTTGAATCTCTGTCCCATTCTTGAATCTCCACAGTTGCCCTGAATCTTTACATTTTAAGGGATATTTTTGGAAACATAAAAGTGATTTGAAACCAAGTGTCATACTGGGTTAGTCCACTTTGGTTCACAAATAACATGTGGCTACAAATCAGTAATGCTGGTTTTCCCAGGTGGCTCATAAGAGTCATCTCTGGGGGCACTTCCTGGAGAGCCGTGTTTTGAGTAGTGGCAGTTGCCGGAGCCCATAGAATATTGCAGGAGACAGGAGAGCTGGGTGCTTGGTCTTGTTTTTCTATGGACTTTGTGGCCTTCGGTGGGTCACCCAGTGGTTTTGGCCCCACGTTTTCTCATCTGGTGTTAAACCAGGTAATCCGCAGGTGGCTTCCAGTGCTGAAGATCTATGGTCATATAAGTGCTGGCATGTTTGCTTTTAACTGAGTCTCTTTGTGTTACAATCTCCATATTCCTTTGAGAACAAAATGAGAGTATGTGCCTCGCATATGTGTGTTAGTTTGTACCAAGGATCTGTTTATGGAGTAACCACTGAGCTAAGAAGAAAATGGTGCAGAGAAGGAAAGAAACCGTTTCTGGATCCATTGCTCATCGTTTACTAACTTTTCCCTAAAGAGTTGACTCCTGTCCCAGATGAGATCTGGGGCTTGAAGGCCAGTAGCCTGACAGGTAATGATGCCTGGGGAAGACTCCCAAGAAGCGTCTTGTGTTCTAAACTCATGGGGGTCCCCTTTCCTTTCCTGTAGGCATCCAGACTGGAGAAGCAGAACAGCACACCTGAGAGTGACTACGACAACACTCCCAATGACATGGAGCCAGATGACACGGGGTACATCTGTAGAGGGAGCGTGCCGGGGGATGGGCTCTCAAATGCCAGAAACCTGGCAGGCCTTGGGCAGCAGAAACAGTTCACCACCTACCCCCCTTTTCTCTATTTTCAAACCCATAAGCTCTTGTTTTTTTTTTTTGAACAGAGCCATGAGTGTACCCATAAGGTCTTAAAACAGTCAGAGACTGGCTCTTGTTCCATACATTCATAGTTTATATGTCTTTCTCCTCATCTCACATTATTGCCAAACGGCCTTTTTTCCTTTTATCAGCTGTTAAATGTGTCTCTAGATATCTTCAATGTGCTTAAAATCAACACTTCATTGTTAAATCGACATTAGGTTACGTTCTGCATTTGTACCGCAAGGCATTGGCTTGACCAGTGATGGTTTTATAACCATACACCCTGCCCACTCCAGTTATTCCCCTCTCTTTCCCCTCCCTCACCCTTTCTATGAGAGTCATAACTTCCAGCCCTATGGTAGAGTAAAACAGCCTCTGCGTGAACCGTAGCTGCCAGTTGATGAAACAGCCTTACATGAGTCTCCCGCGAGACAGGATAAAGGAAACCACAAAGCAGCCTGCTCGTGCGTGCAGCCAGTGTGTACAAAGGAGCTCGTAGAAACAGAGAAGCAGCCGGTGAGCGCCTGTTGCATTCGGCCACATCTGTAATGTTCACAGGTCCAGCCGAAAGGGAAGGCAAAGAAGTATGGTGTGGCCAGGTGATAGCTCAGTGCCAGATACTGCAGAACCCCATGTGGCCCCAAGCCCCACTCTCCCCAGCACTGAAGATGTCATCCGGAAGACCGAACAGATCACCAAAAACATACAGGAGCTCTTAAGAGCAGCCCAGGAAAATAAACATGACAGGTAAGGGGGACCGAAGACCCACTTTGGGAGAGCGTGCGTACATGCTCTGAGAGGGATGCCGCTCACATTCCAAATGGCGGTTGTTGCCAACGTGCTGACTTTAAGGTCCTCGGAAACTTCAGGTTTATAGAACAGGCTTGAGAACAAATGAATCCATTTTTTTTGATTTGGTTCGTCTTGTATACATGGTATTGTCATTTTTTTTCATCTTGTTATGAAGCTTTCTGAAAGTAAATGCCTCTAGAAATAGGACTTAGCGTATTTGGGGTGGCGATAGCCCCAGTTCTAGAACAGGGGAAGGGAGCTGCCTCACAACCTGCTTCTGGCCACTGCTGCTCCCTGGCTTCCCCTCGGCTAGGGACAAGGTTGCCCACACCAGAGGTATCCTGAAAGGAACCTGATTTATCTATCTCCCTCCTGGGGGTATGTGTGTGTCAGTATGTGTGTAAATTTCTAAGAAACAACTGGTTTAGAGATAGAAGTTGACCTAACCGTCACCCAAATAATTCTCTGCCCATGAAAGGAGAGTCTGTTTGGCCTGAACAGAAGCACACCGTGTAGTTACCTCTTACCCTAAGGAAGGGACTGGCTCCTCTTCCAACCTATCTTTTTGTTCCCCAAGAGTGAGTGAACTCCTGGTAAGAACACACTGCTCTGGGTGACATCCTTGTTTCCCACGACTGGCCAGATCTAGACACACTCTTAAAACGTTGTTTAATATCATCCCGTTGAGGTTGAGGAAACAACAGGGTTTGGTCAAACCCAAGAACAATCTCATTCTTTTCATTAGGTGAGCAAAGTTTAGGACTTCAGTGAAGAACTTCTCTTTGCGCCTTGCACGAGCAGAAGGTGTTCAAGGGACACGTACTATTCATCCTTTCTTCTCTCTTCTCTTCTTGCACATAAAGATGCATTCGTGCCTTTGTGTTCCCTCCCCTTTCCCTGCCCTTTTTCTTTTTGATACAGCTCAGACTTCTCCCAGCGTCACCATTTCCCATTAGGGAAGAGAGGACTTATCCTCGTTTATTGAAAGGCAAGAGCTAGTCTTCATGGCTGGACTGCTGGAAGCTCCTCAGAGTAGAAGAGGAACCTGCGTAATTTCTCAGCCGTCTTTCACAAAACCATATAGCGAGTTGTCTTCCCCTTTCCCGGGCACCCTCTTTATTCCGAGCCTTCCAGGCCTCACATGTTGTCAGTGCAGTATCACTTAGCTCAGGGCGGTAGGCTGGGCAGTGAGTGACTTCATATCTGATTCCATAAAGCAAAGTGTTCCACAGCTTTCTGAAGTGCAGTTTTTGACAGTGTTTAAAGTAATCTCGATACAAGAATAACTCTTGAGCACTCTCCCCCGTGTATCAATGTACTTCACTTTTCATTTCTCTAGTTCAGAAGTGCTGTGCTTGTATTTCAAACTGAAAAATGTGCTTACCTTGTATTGCACCCTCTGATAGTTGTCAAGAATATAAATATCTGCCCTGAGGCCATTTCTGGCTTCAAAGATTACAATATGGTGCTTGGTGCCATTTGGGACGTTTCTTTCTTTCTTTTTTTTTTTTTAAGATGTACAAATCCATTCAACACATTTTGTGATCTGATTTCTTTTTTTAAAGACCATGAGAGAATGATGCAGAGATTTTCATCATTAGCTCGTTTGTTTGGTTTAAAACCAGAATTGGTCTAGGGTATTTATATTTTATAAAATGTTCAATGTTCTATTAAAATCTCTGCTTACTTAGATATCCAAGATGCTTTCATTTATAACCTTGCATTGCACTAATGAAACTCATGCCTTTTTCTCATTTTCTCCCCTTGTTCATCTGAGCAATCTCCCCCCAGCCCCTGACTTTCCCGCAGCCTGGGCCAACCTCCTGGGCCTCCGGTCCCACTCCCCACCTGCGCTCTCTCTCTCTCTCTCTCTCTCTCTCTCACACACACACACACACCCACACACACACTTCAGGAATTATGACTTATACACAAAAACCTTTTTGAGGAAAGATACCAATTTTTTAATTTTGAAACAGAGTCTCTCTCTGTTGCCCAGGCTGGAGTGCAGTAGTGTCATTATAGCTCACAGCAACCTCAAACTCCTGGGCTCAAGCTATCCTCCTGCCTCAGCCTTCCGAGTAGCAGGAACTACAGGTGCACACCACCACACCCGGCTAATTTTCCCATATCTTTGTAGAGAAGACGTCTCACTCTGTTGCTCAGGCTGGTCCCAAGCTCCTGGCCTCAAGCAATCCTCCTACCTCAGCCCCCCCAAGTGCTGGGATTAGAGGCGTGAGCCACCATGCCTGGCCAGGAAAGATAACGGTTTGAAGTTGTGAACTTGAACTCCCTTTGATAAAGGAGGAGGACTTCCTCATTAATCTGCATGTGCTTTGTTTCGTGGTTTATTGAGGACTTCCCAAAACAGTGAGTGAACTTTGAGAGACGGCTTTAGGAAAAATCCCTTCTCTATGTAGCAGAGGAATGGGTAAATTGTATTTCTCAAAACGAAACCATAACCAACAAAACATAAAACTCTTAGGTATGGTTCTTAGTTACTGTGATGTTAATGGACACACAAGTTCAAGAAACCCCTGCTGGGCTATGAGTCAGTCCTCCTAGAAACGAAGCCCAGGCTTGGTGGCAACGTGGTATCTAGAAACTGTCACTTAATACCATCATCAGTTTGTGTTTTCCTCTCTGCATCTCGTAGCATGTACTGTCTGGGGTGCAGACCTAACATTTGTGAGGTGCAGGAAACTAGCTCCCTGTGTTGCTTCTCCCAGTACTAAGCATAAGAATCCTGGATGAAACCACAATCTTAATTCTCCCAGAGTGAGATCACACTCAGCAGCGGGAAGAGGCTCGCTGCGTGTTCGGTATCAGGAGCCAGGCTGGGGCGGGGGCACTGGGTGTGAGCTCAGCCCTCTTCTCATCTGCATCTGTCTTTTTCCTTGAGGAGGAATTTCGGTTTCCTCATTTGAGCAGTGGATGTGCGAACAGTCCCAAACTCAGAGGTCTGTAGGGAATATTATGTGATTCTGCAAAGTCGGTGCTCCTTAAGCTGTAGCTCTTGTGGTGGCATTTACGGGGCCACTAGAAGACCAGGCAGCCTGGAAGAGAGGATGAGGACAGGCAAATTTTATGCACTTCGTTGCCTCAGAGCTTGTCAACGCGCAGAGAATGTGCTAACTGAGCAGAGATGTGCTAACCACACTGATAGCATTTGATACAAACAAGCACGTGGTGACTTTGTAGACAGGGTCTGTATAAAGCAGACCTCACTGCTTTCTCTTTACACAGAGTAAAGAATTCTGACTCCCCAACAACTCACATGTGTTTGAATGGAGGGAATTTAGAAGCATCCATTGGTTGACTGACACATGGGTATTGAGGTGTAGTCTCCAATTATAATTTTAAGGAATTTTTTTCAGTGCTTTGTTTTTCACTTCTGTGGCCTTTTGCATGGAAATGCTTTTTCTTTCTAGAAATTAGGAAGATGAAACACATGAGAATCTGTGAATGACCAACTTGAGGAGGTGTGAATATCTTTATATACACAAATATCTTTGTGGCTTCACCTGGCTACATAATAGTATGTGTTGCCACATTTCACACCTAGAGACTGCTTTTATCAGATCGAACTGTCAAGAAAGGATGGGGACCCTGCTTAAAACCGTGTGCCTTCTGGTGGTGTGAGATGCACAGTGGGCTGGCCACAGCCTCACCCCTTCATTAAGGGATTGTAAATACAATGTCCTAGAACTTGAATATTCTCTGCCTCTGAGTCATTTCTACTGTCTTTGAATAATCTCTTTAATATTCTTGCAGTTATATTCCCTGCTCAGAGAGGATACATGTAGCTGTTACAGAAATGGCAGCACTGTTCCCCAAGGTAAGTCACTTTCTAGTCACTTCCTTTAGATCCTTTTAAATGAACTGCAAGAAATTTCTTTATGACGTATATATTTATTAACCTTTTTGTAGCACATAGAATTAGTAAATATGCAGTCATTAGAGCTTTGAAATGTTTTTGTTCTACATGAATACTGATTTTAATAAGACAAAGATGTACAAGTCAAGGGCTAAAAGGCAAAACATTAATAGGATAAAATTTTATCTGGAATATTTCAGCCACATGGCTTAATATTTTTCAAAAACTACCTCAAAATAGCACATACAACCAAAATTACCCTGCATGCACTTTGACCTTTGAGTAAGAGCATTTCGGCATCTCTTAAACTGTGGGCTGCAAAGCTGGGTGAGTACAGAGCACCCTTATTGAGAAAATGCATGGCAAAACTGCCTCTCACTCCACATAGCAGCTTGACTCGTTTCCAGAAGAATGCTTGCCCCTCGCTCTCGGATGTCCACCCTGTAGTTCGTGGCGAACGGCTGTGTTTTTCTGTTTAGAAACCCAAGTCTGACATGGTGAGGACTTCCCTTCGCTTACTGACGTCCAGTGCCTACCGACTCCAGTCAGAGTGCAAGAAGACCCTCCCAGGGGACTCTGGCGTGCCCACGGACGTCCAGCTGGTCACACAGCAGGTGATCCAGTGTGCATACGACATCGCCAAGGCTGCCAAGCAGCTGGTCACCATCACCACCAAAGAGAACAACAACTGACAGCGCCATCACTTCTGTTTTTCTAGGCTTTTTAAAGTCCAATTTCAAATTTAGACATGGAACTCTTCAGATTTTTTCAAAAACAAACATTTAATGACGGTTTAAAACTTTTTAAGAGAAAACTCAGTATTATTTTTGCATGTTTTCTAACAAATTTTCAACTATTAATTTAACCCACTTGCCTTATTTTGTGCCTGTTTGCCAGTCGAGTTGATGTTCTGTTGTGTTGTCAAGGACTGTCAGTTAATGATCGTGTACATCCAGAAGTATAGTTGCATTGTTTAAAGTTTGTTAAAACTTTTCCATCCCTTAAAACCGCCTGCCTATGGCTAAAACTCTAAATGAGATTTTTAGTAAAACATTCTCTTGAGAGAGTTGGGTTAAAAAAAAATTATCAGCGTTACCTGTTCCCTGCCAATCATCGTGCAATAGGTGAATTTTCTAGCCTCCTGCGAAATCTCTAAGTTTGGGGTATCTCCAAGCATGTATGTAGAGAAAGGACTTTGCCACTTTCTAAAAGTAGTGTAACAGTCTCTCTCAAAAGGAAACAATGCATCGATCCATTTCTTCTAAGTGTTCTATCATGTTAAATGTTCTGTTATTTAATTTTTTTATCTCGATCTTATATCTCTTTATATGTTGCTATCATCCTGAAGTCTACATGGAGTCAGATAAAGCATTCACCTTCCCCAGTGTGTCTCATTAGACCACGTGCAGGGTAGGAGCACCGCCCCGCGTTCTCACCCATTGCCAAGTGCTCTCCCTTCCCCCGTAAGCCAGACAGCTTAATTCAAAACGTGCAGCGAAAAGAAGCATCGTTCTAACCAGCCATGACTAAGTTTGTACCACCTGTTCAGATGTCACTGCCGCGAACTGGGAGGAAAAGAGGTCACTTCCCTAACTCTGTGTCGTACCTTTCATCCAAATCTCAGTTCCTCCTGGAACCCCTTGCAGCTTTCTCACGTGAGTTGCTTCGTGTGTTTTGTCACCTTTGAGGACTTCTTACAAGGTAAGATGTGTGCAGTCATCTGAGTCAGTTTCTCCTCCATTCCCTCACTGCTACTTAGAAATCGGGCATCAACTTTCAAGAATTCCTTAGAGAGCGTGCTCCAGCTGGCTGCCGGCTCTCCCAGAGCTAGAAAGAGCACGGACTTAAGTGCTGGAACGTGCTGAAATTGTTTCAGTTACTAAAAAGCCCTTTCTTGTTCTGAATGTGGGAGTGTCTTCTCGTTCCTGCTTATTGCTGCAGTTTTGTGTGGGCGTGGGGCGGACCCTGCCCTGACAGAGCAGGTGATGTCACATGTGAGCAGGTGCGCAGCAGTGGGGTGGAGGGGACAGCTGGGGAACCCATGGCCTACCCAGTAGGGACAGCAGCTCCCCAGTGCCACCCATGTTGCCATGTGGAGAAGTGGGCCTACGGTTGTCAGAGCTTTGGTTTTTCAAAAGACACTAGAAATCCAGAATTTTTTTTTTTTATATAAATGCCATCTCTCCCTTTATAAATGTCGGCAACCACTTAGAACCTTTTCAGAGAACATGTGCAGGTGAGCTGTGGCCTCCATGCTGCCAGCTCACAGCCTCTGCCCCAGGGCCCTGTAAGTTGCAGCGTGAGGGCCTGGCTTCGCTGCACACGCCTGGATTAGCCCCTGCGCCTTACCTGGAATGAAGCCGTCCTACCCTGTGAAGTCGCTGCCGCTCCTCTTCTCACTAGTATATTCTGTCCCATAGTGCTCATTCACACATGTGAACGTGTCAGACTAATCCAAGGACGAGTTGCCTCAACACTTGCTAAGTCTCTGTTTTCACAGAAGTGATTCATACACACCTTTGTAGCCTGACCAGATGCTGTCCTCAAAGTAGCATCACAATGGTGTGTGGTTTACTAAGTCCCGGCGTGCGGGTGCTTTGGTCGGGCTTTGCTGTGCTGTGAGTAGCATGGGAACAGGGTCCACGTGTTTGTCACACAGCCTGAGTGCTGTGTTGCTCTTGGAGGTTCAGGGGATGCCTTCTGGAAGGCCACCTCCTACTTTAAGTTCAAGCGCCATCTGATAACCTTTTCTGCATGTTTCATGCACTGTCGGGGCTCTCCACGGCCCTCGGGAAAGGCCCTGTGGCAGTCCTGGGCCAGTGCCCTTGGCCTCCTGCGGGGACAGGCTTCTGTAGGGGCTTCTGGGAAATGAGTTGTCTGCAGTAGGTGAAGTCGTGTCTTCCCTTGAGCACTTGAGGACCTGTGCAAGAGGATGTTGTTTATGCCCCTGGAGAAAGTCAAGGAACGTGGGGACCACAAAGTGTTTCTAGTTATAAGAATACTACAGAAGAGTTTGCTTGGTTAACCCACAGTGCCAAAACTCCAAAAGAAGTCCCCAGATGGAGTGACATGTGGCAATCAGAGGGCTACAGGCGGTCCCTTTCCTGCCCTGCGCATTTCCTTAGCCTCAGCTGAGATCTGGTGTCAGAGTTCTCTGCTCCTGTTGGCAAATCGCACCTTTGTCTGAATGGTTGTTCTGGCCACCTTTTGCACATGGATTCCGTAGCCTTGCACTAGCGACGTCTGCATTCTGTAATGTTTCTTACTCTTGATTCTCAGTTACGCTTCCCTGCCCCTGCGCCGCCCCGTCGTCCCCTGAAGCTGATGGGACAGAGTTGCACTTTATGAAACTGGCACTTGGCTGACAGAAGGAAACAGCTCTACCCCTAAGCTCCTTTCACAGAAATCGTCTTCTGCCTCGGGATGCAAATAGTTCTTATTTGCCAAAGAACAATGAATTGGGCCCAAAGATCAAATACAGCATTTCATCAAATTGGAACTATAAACGCACAACTCAGGAGCTGTCGTACGATTCCTCAAGTGACTTCAGTTGCAGACCCAAGAATGGAACTAGCATGGTTTTGTCCTCAGCAGCATCCACGAGGTCTCCGATAGTGCAGTTTCCCCCCTTTCCTCGTCCTGGTTAAAGGTAACACTTGTTCTTACACAAGAAAATGCTGCACAGGAGAAATGAAATGCCTTTTATTCCAGTGGGTTTGATCCCTGTCACTCATTCTGTACTTACCTTTCATTTGTATTGTACATTCTATTCCTGTAATTATTGTGCCCTTTAAGTGTTGTAAAATTGTTTTGTAATTCGTGCCTGCTAGTTATGCAATAAACAGGCTCTCCAAGTGCTTTTGTGGTAATGCTGTGTTTTCCATCAACTAGTCAGTGTTTCCAGACACTGGGTGAAAGTTCTGAGAAAGTTCTCACATACGGCCATCGTTAGCGAGAGACTGTTTGATAGGCCTCCTCCCTGGGGCCTCCAGCAGTTTTAGGGTAGTGATGACCTTTTTCTTCCTCTGTGCTCAGCAAATAGCTTTCTTAAAAGAAATCCTGCATCAGGATATTAGTTCCATGTATCTTGATGTATTTATCCCTAAGTTTATTTATTTATTTGCTTACTTTTTGAGACAGGGTCTTGCTCTGTTGCCCAGGCTAGAGTACAGTGATGTGATCATAGCTCACTGCAACCTCAAACTCCTGGGCTCAGCGATCCTCCCACCTCAGCCTCCCGAGTAACTGGGACTACAGGCTTGTGCCACCACACCCAGCTAATTTTTAAAATTTTTTGTAAAGGTGGCTGCTCTTCAAACTCCTGGCCTCAAGCAATCCTCCTGCCTCGGCCTCCCAAAGTACTAGGATTACAGGCATGAGCCACCATGCCCAGCCCTAGGTTTAATTTTTTTTAATTCAGCAAAAGCCAGCCCAGTGCAGATACCCTCACTTCTTCCTAACAGGTGATGGGGTTATGGAATCAGTTCAGTCTCTTAAGGCCACTGGTCTTTTTTTGAAACTTTCAGAGAAAGGCCCACTGTGCAGGTTCATAGGGGAAGCTGGTGTAGATTTACACTGGGGTTCATCAGGGCCGCCCAGCAGTTGTGCTGTGGAGAGATGACTCGGGACTCTCTCCCACAGGGAAGGAGGGGTGGGGTAGGACCTGGCCATCACGGGTACCTTTCCCAAGTGAGAAGTCAGAGAGCTGCAGCATCCTCGCCTTGTGATCCAGCTCGTCTGGGAGACTGTTTGTCAGGGCCAAGGACCAGTAGGTCGGACGTAGCTGCTGACACCCAGAGTGACCTCCTGGGGCAGGGGTGCTCAAAAGAGCCAGCCTCAGACCCCTGGATACCTGACGGGCCTGCTGAGACACAGCTCCCCGGGCCCAGTCCCCACAGTCTGGTTCTGCAGCTCTGGGGCAGGGCCTGGCCATTGGCATTTCCAGCAGGTTCCGGGTGCCACTGACCTGCGGGGCTGGGACCACACTCACAAGCGCGCCGTAGACCGTTGCCGGGACCTCCCCACCACGTAGCTCCTTGCCTTCTGATCGTAAACATGTTTTATATGACAACAATTACAATTGTCGCTAACGTTCCCTCTGTGCCAGGCCCTGTGCTAAGTTCTTGGATGTATTAGCTCATTTCATCCTCACTACAACACTGTGACACAGGAGTGCTTATTTCCGTTTTACAGATGAGGAAGTTTACACGTGAGGAGATGAAGTGCCACATCTGAGGAGAGAGGCAAAGTGTGTTAGGTACTGTCATTCAAGTTCGTGTAATGTTATTCCTCGTCACCAGCCAGGGCGTGTTGTCATGACTCCAGCGGTGTCCGTAACTGAGGAGTCTCAGAGAATGTGGCCTCCGTGTGGGGCTGAAGCCGCTGGGCTGGCGGCACCGCCGCGGCCTCAGGCCCGTTCCCCTCGAGTCTAGGTAACCAGGGGGCAGGGGGCAACCGAACCACGTGAACAGATGGCTTTCGCAGCCTTGTTAGCCGGTGCCCCGTGGCCTGGGGTCCCTCCCGCACCTGCACCTCTGCAGCATTCGGCGACGGGCCGACGAAGTGGCCTGAGCCGCTCTGGCCGCCGGCTCACAACACCGTGACAGCAGCACCCTCCCTCCACGAGGTGCACACAGGCTGCCTCCGTGACCGTCTGAGGAAGGACCCGCTGTCCAGCAGGCCAGGCGGCCGAGGTTGTCCAGGAGCTGGTGCCTGCGGTCCACAGACTCCAGGGGTCCCCGCCTCTGCCGGCCGGCCACACAGCCAGAGCCTCCTTCAGCCCAGCCCATGTGACAGGTATGTGAGTCAACTCCCCCCGGAGAGGTCCCAACTGGAGGGACCACTGGAGATAGGGCGTGAACTCACCGTCGTGGCCCACACCTGGCCCTTGCTGGGCTCCCAGCCTCCCGGCCGCAGGTCTCTTCCTAGATCCCCAAACTGTCGAAAGCACTTACTACCTCCCAGCCCCATTTCTCTCCCAAAGGCAGCTTCTCTCCACGGCCCTTCCAGAGCCCCAGGTCATTGCTCTGCTGGCCTCGGGCTCTTCTCTTGGCTTAGTCCTATGAGCCCCATCTCTCACCCAGGACACCTTTTCAGACAGGGAAGTTTTGAAATCGAACTTGGTCTTGCAATTTATACCCGCCGGGTCTGAGGTTGACACCGTGGCCCTCCCCAGAACCATATTTTGCTGTCTGCCACCCTCTTCCAGCCACCCCTGCCCAGGACCTCACTCTCTCACGACTTCACCATCCCAGCTTGTTGCATTTAGACCAGAGGGGCCGAGTTAATGCTAGCACTATGTGCAACCACTGGGCTGGGTAGATGTTTTCCAGTTGATTATCCAAGCAATCTCATAGGGTAGGAATTGAAACTGCCCCCCTTTTGCAGATGAGGAAACTGAGGTCCTTAGAGCTCAGTTAGTAGGGAGCAAGTCAGAGCACAGGGCTTGTGCTCTTAACCGTGGGGCTGTACAGACACAGGTAGACGTCCAGGCTGAGGACAGCAGACCTACTGGGACCAGAAGAGAGTGAGGAATGGCCACGACCTTGGCAGAGGTACAGCAGGGGAGAGTTGTGGAGCAGAGACTGGCCCCCTTCCCCTCCATGGTTCCTCTTCCCTGGGGCGGGGTGGGGGTCAGAGCGGTGAGGCGCCGGGAGGTGTCACTTGCTGTGAGGTCCTCTACGCCTTGGGAGGCTAAAAGGAATAGAGCCTGGGTGGCCGGGTTTGTGTTTTGTCTTCCAATTCCTTATTTTTGCCACAAGCATTTCTCATCCTTTCTGTTTGTTCCAGACTGAGGTATTCGGTAACTGCTGCTCAGTAAGACTGATCTTCGGTGGAGGACGTGGCCCAGTTCAGCTCTGGGAATGATTGGAGGACCTCACAGACCCCACAAGCAGATTGACTTTCCCCAAGTCAGCCGTTCTGCAAGCAGGAGGGCTCCCTTCGAGGCCCGTCTGTGCTCTCCCCAGAGTAGGGGGGAGCCCCACAACCAAGGGTGGGGGAACCACTGGCTCAGTGACAGGGAACAAGAGAAGCATGTAGCGAGTCTGACCTGCTTCCAACTGAAAGGATGGCAGAGACAGGGTCGATTCCAGCACAGGTAGGTTGTTTCCTTGTTTCTTTGTAGGGGGAGCATCCTCTTGGCAGGAGTGACAGGTCCGTCTGAGTGTTGTGCTTTCTGTACTGTATCTTAGCACATCTTTATGTCTCCCTTCTCCACATTTCACAGTGGAGAGCTGGGCCCGAGAGGGTCACCCAGCCGCTAAGAGGTGGGCACAAGACTGGAACCTGGGCCAGCTTGGGCCAGCGGCTCTTCTTCACCCCACACTTCTCCTTGGCTGGAGCGCACTCTCTCTTTCTCTCTCTCTCATCATGAGCTTTAGATACAGAAATGTGTCTGACTTACCTGTGTGGAATTATAAAGTGGCCACAACAGAACAGTGCCTTTCTCTTAGAAGTCCCCGTGGGCCCCTCCTTCCCCTAGACTTTAGTGACTGTCACGTCCTTGCGTTAGTTGAACCAAACCCTTTGTGCGCATCCCTAATGACAGCTTAGTTTTGCCAGTTTCGAACATGGAAATGGAACCCTACTGATGTATTCTTTCCCTCACTGTAGTGAGATTCAGCCAGGGCAACACGTGTAGCTATTAATAGTTCGCTCTCAATGTGAACTCATTCATTGAATGAGTACACCACAGTTTAACTAGTATTTTATTGATGGACATTTGAGTTATTTTTAGTTTGGGCTCTTATGTGAAAAGGTGCTATGGAAATCAAGGCTTTTGGTGCATGTATATTTCTGTAGGACATACACCTAGCAGTGGAGCTCCAGGGTAACAATGTGTGTGCCTCTCCAAACCTGCGACACTGTCCACACCATATTCTGCTGTTGGACCAGCAGAATATGAGAATATGAGATTTCCCATCGTTCTACGTCTTCGTCAGCACTGGTGTAATCGGTTTTAATTTTGCCAATCTAGTGGGTTTGTTGTGGCATCTCATTGCAGCTTTAATTTGCATTTCTCTGATAATGATATATTTGCCTGCTTTGCCATGGTTATTAGCCATTTAGATTTCCTCTTCTGTGAAGTGCCTGTTGGAGTGCGCACCCATTTTCTACTCGATTCTCTTTTTTTAATTATTCTTAGGAGTTTTTAAATGCTCTGAACGCTGTTCCTCTGATGCTGATCTGTGTTGCAAACATCCTTTTCATTCTGTGGCAAGTCTTTTCCCTCTCTTAAGTATCTTTTAAAGATAAGCTTTTTTAGTGTAGTCAAATTTACCAATCTTTTCCATTATGGTTGGTGCTGTGTGTGTCTTAAGAAACCTCCCCTATACTAGATTATTTTTTAATTTGAAATAATCATACAGAGAAGTCCCTGTGCCCCTCACTCAGTTTCTCCCAATGGTAACACCTTACATGATTGTAGTTCAACGTCAGATTGACGCTAGTACAATCTCAGGCCTTATTCAGATAACACTGATTGTATTAACACATGCACTTGTGTGTGTAGTTCTATGCTATCTTACCATGTGTGTGGGTTCCTGTCACCACAGTGAAGGTACAGACCTGCTCTGTCACCACAGAGAGCTCCCTTGTGCCACCCCCTTAGAGACACACCCTGTCCCCTGCAACCACAAATCTGTTCTCCGTCTTTATAATTCTGTCTTTTAAGAATGTTGCATAAAGGGACCATACAGCATGTCACCTGTTGAGATTGGCATTTTGCACCCAGCATAATGCCTGTTCAAGTAGTTCAGAGACAGAGGTCTGGAGAGGGACCCCAAAGGCCATCGTAGGACTCGATCCTGACCAGAAACCTCCCACACCCATATTTGGGAATGGGTCCTTAATTTTC